AAAATGGGAATACTAATGCACTTGCCTAGCGCAATGGTTAGTCAACAGAGCCAAATATCAACAGTACAATGATTGAGATTTCTTTTGAGAGCCAAATTTTTTAAACTTAAACTTCTTCTAACTCCACTTCTTCAAAATAGACTCGCCCAGGCCATGGTATTTTGTGGAAGAGCCACATTCAAGGGGCCAAAGAGCCCCATGTGGCTCACACTGCAGTTTGCCGACCACGGGCCTAGTGCATTAGATTTAGGGTACTACTGTAAATCAGCGGTTCTCAAACATCTGCCTGAGTACGAGTGTCCTGCAGAACTTATGCAGATGAAGTTTTTGGAGTTTCATTTCCTGAGAGGCGCTAGGTGAGGGCCCAGGCTTCTTAGTTTTCAGCACGTGTCCCAGGTGGATCTGCCTGGCCACTGCATATCCCACCTGGGCAGCTGTACCTGGCTTCCCCTGGGACTGGCCCTGGTGCCCCAGGGGCTGCTGGAATCTTACAAGTTTCAGTTCCAGCGATAGCTCCTCCAGGAGAAATTCTTTATGGGACTTTCTGATAGACCTAGACCTCGGGGCAGGAATGCCCTTACCTGCCATTCCAAAATACACTTTTTATAGATGTGAGGCAATCTCATTCGAGGCAAAACCTCATCTGATGGCAAAAACCTAATCTGAGCTGACATGATATTTATAGTCTTTCTTTATCCCACTAAGTGTGAATATTAATATGCTTTGCTATAGAGATATAAATGGGTTCCATGATAGTGTGCTGGCCCAGACTCTACTGGCAGTGGGACATAAGGTTGTGATATGTAACATAGAATTTTTCTAAAATGTGCATCCAGCACAATGCTCAGTGCAAATAACAACTACCAACCACTGCCCTAGGTGATGCCCCCTTTAAAAAACTCAAGGAAGTTAATTTGAAAGTGCCTGAAAGTTCCCCATCATTGTGAGCTGGGACCATCCTAAGTGGAGGTGCTGACTGTCATTTGCTACTTCTCACCCCCACACCCAAAGGCAGGGTGGACTCACCTCCTCGGGGACCATCTCCTGTTCCAAACACAGAGGCCTCTTCCCCTCGCCTCTGATTGGCACCTACCGAGATCACCAAGCAGCAACCAGAAACCATGTGCCAGGTGCCTCTTAGACAGCCAGGTAGCCTCGAGCACCAGGCAGGAGTGCAGAGGCAAGAGGGCAGTCGTGGGGGGGGGGGGGGGTTGCTAAGAGCAGAGTGATCAGAAGTTGGCTGGGGGCAGGCTCACGGAGAGTCGTGTGGCTGGGAAGTGGAGAGAAGGAAAGGGGTCTGGGGAAAATACTGCCATTGTCCAGACCAAGGGAGTTCTGGAAGCTAACGTTAAGACTGATGGCTTCAGTGTTCAACTTGCAGGGCAAGAAGACTGGCTCAAGGTCACAGGGTCCTGGGGGTTCCTGGACCTCAAGAGAGGTATGACCATTGCTCTTTTTATGTCACTAGCAATAGGTATTTCCCAATGCTGCGTCTCTCCAGCCCCACAGCTAATATTTGTCTCCTGTCGATCAGTCTCCAGCCGGTTACTTTTTAACTGGCGTCAGGGTTCAAAGGCCTGAGTTTTGTTTAAACACTCATTGCATCGGGGAGGGCATGTCCCCCTGATAATCTCAACTGATGAATAAGCAAGGATCCTCTAAGTAAACACAGACTGTAGAGAAGGCATGGCGGGGGGCGAGGGGGTAGTGATAGGGAGTGGGAAGACCCCACTGCCAGATGAGGTCTTAGACTTTGTAAGGAAGCTAACTTAAAAGACAATCTCTAAATCTAAACTTTCTGCCACAAATAATACCAAATATAATATCTAGAATCCTTCATAAGAATACAACAATGTCAATCAACTAGTTCCTGGGGGTAGAACCCACCCCTCAGCCTGGTCCTTACTGCCCTTCAGCTCTACTAGACAAAGACAGGTTTGCACAGCACTGGAGGCGCCTGGAGAAAAGGAGGCCCTGGCTTGCAAGGTGGAGAGTCTGCCCCTGGGAGGCCCCGGGCTGGGGCCATGAGAACGGCTGTCTCTTCAGGTGGGCATCCCTTATGCACAATGGATTTTGTTGTCTGAAGCAAAAACCCTTCCTTCCTTGGTTTGCTGGTACCTAAATACCCACCTTTATCCTTTTGGCTTAAGCCAAGCTTCACCTTTGGAATTTGCTAAAATCAAAATACTTCTGGAAGGGGTCATAATGTGCTTAGTGTGATCAGGCATTACATCTTAGTGTGAACCATTGTATTGGGTCTTCCCCCTGAGAGAGGCTTTGGTGGAGGGGGTAGGAGGTGGGCAGGAAGTGCAGTGGCTAAAGGGAACGGTGGCTGAGCCAGCAAACTTGAGCCCCCAGGTCTCCGCTCTGCAAGGGATTGCCACCCCCAGGCGCATCTCAGTTCCCAGAATCCCATAGTGTACTGTTGAGATGAGCAAGCACTGCGGAGCATAGCATGTACCAGGATGGGGAGCCACGGTACCCAGGAATTGCTTCCTCATGCCAGTGTTCTGGGACCCTTACTCTGGCTCAAGGGCTTCTTCCCAGATTTTGAAGAAGATGACAAGGTCCTTTGTTGACAAGGGGAAAGGCAGAGGAGTGGAAGGCTCTGGCCCCACCAGGAAGAGACAGAATTTTCTGCAGGTGGTTGCTAAGGCTTATCCCCCCACTAGGATGATGTGTTTCTCCAGGTCAGTGTCAACTCTAAATTGTCCTGCTGTCATCTCGGCCCAGATCTTCAAGTTGCTGAGTGGCTGTAGCACCTTTGTGCTCAGGCTCCACTCCCTTTGCCCCCAGGGCCCACATGCGTGCTGCCCCACCCTGAGGCTGAGGGGGCTAGGCTGTCTCCCTCCATGAGATGCTATAGGGAACGAGACCAGCTTGGTGGGCTTGCATGGTTATCTTCCAGAATTGGAGGCAGAAAGGTCCGGCTCTGCTGGCACTGCCCCCGTCCCTGGCTCCACCAGTGGTGGCAAAGAGTCCATCTGTCGCTGCTGTCCCAAGCTGGGCTCCTAGTGCTCCTCCTTTCTCTCCTGGCTCAGTGACGAGCGGGCTCTCTCCCTCAGACCTGCCCTTGGAGAGAGAAGGTAGGGTGAAGTCACACCAGTGCCCAGGGTCCCACAGGGGCAGAGTGAGAAGCTGACCACACCTCCCTGTGGGCCTCCAGTTCCTAGGAAGGAGATGCACCCATGGTCATTGCCATTCCGGTCACTGCATGGGAGGGAGGGCTGCCCTGGAAAGTCAACAAAGGAAGGTGGCAGGTAAGGGCAATAGTGCTGGGCACATGCAGAGTGACCCAGGGCCAGCACCCAGACCCTCATGGCCAAGGTCCTTTGTTGCCAAACGTACTTAGTTGGAGCCTGAGGAGCCCTGGGCACTCTCAGGGCAGAATCTTCACTGTCAACTGGTCCCACCATTCAGTCCAGACAAGGGCAGGCAGGACTGAAAACTGTCCACTTTCTCATTCCAGGAACTGCAGGCAGAACTCCCGCAGCAGGGGATCTCTTAGAACACATGTGTCAAACACAAGGCCCGCGGGCCAAATCCGTCCCGCCAGGCCTTGCAATGTGGCCTGCACCGCGCTGTCATCACTGCACTCCGCTGCGTTTCCATATCACAATGACAGTTTATGACTGTTCAGTAAACCATTCGGCCTGCGATTTAGGCTGGATTTTAGATTTTGGCCCCTTCTCTGATTGAGTTCGACACCCCTATCTTAGAAACTGCCCAAATGGCTGAAACCAGTTTGGCTCAGTGGATAGAGCGTTGGCCTGCGGACTGAAAGGTCCGGGTTCGATTCCGGTCAAGGGCATGTACCTTGGTTGTGGGCACATCCCCAGTAGGAGGTGTGCAAGAGGCAGCTGATCGATGATTCTCTTGCATCGATGTTTCTCTCTATTCTTCTCTCTTCCTCTTTGTAAAAAAAAAAATCAATAAAATATATAAAAAAAAAAAGAAAAAAAAAAAAAGAAAAAGAAAAGAAACGAAACTGCCCAAATGTGTAATGCTCCTTTAATAACAGTCACCTTCAACGGCCAGCCTCACCTGTTCCTTCGGGTGGGCTGCTCACGGCAGTGCCCTACACCCTTCCAAGCTAACATGTCAGCAAGTTAGCCCTCCCTCAGGAAGAAAAAGCCTTCCCCAAGCAGTGGGGTGCGGGGCGATGAGCAGAAAGCTTTGGGAGCAAACCTGTGCCCTCTCTTCCCATCATCAGGGCCCCGAGCCTCAAACCCCTCTCCATGGCTCTGGGCCCTGTCTGCAGCGAGCCACACACACAAGCTGCAGACCTGCCAGTGATCTGTGTCCCCTGGATGCGCTGGAAGGCACCCCTCAAGTGGCACGTTTGCGGAGCGCTGGCCTGTAGTGGGTTAAGGGTGAACAGCCAGCTCAGACTTCAAGGCAAAGTCCTTTAGGTGGACGCGGAGGAGCTGTGTCCCCTCTGGGCTCTGCCGGCGAGTGGGTCTGGGCAAGGCTGAGACACAAGGGCCATCTCTGACCTTCCCCCGACGCCCTGAGCGCTGGGGAGGCCTTGTCCCAAGAAGGCCCAGCCAAAGTGAGGTGGCACTCCACCTCCAGGCCAGGGGAGGTGCTCCCCATGCACGCTGCCAGCAGTTTACCTCTGTCACCTGGACTTGCAGCCCAGTGGGGACATGGCCAGGATCAACGTCGGGGAGAGGACAGGGCACTACAGAGGCACTGGGGTGGGAGGGACAGAGCGACTGGGGCTGATTTACCTTTTCCTCAGCTTAGTCTGAGGTCAGCCTTATAAAGGAAGGGGGGAGGGGATGGTCTTTAGTCTCACCCTCCTGAGTCCCCACCAGTGGGCAGCCCCAGACCGTGACAGGGTCTGCAATGCATGTTTGAAGGAGTCTGTATTGGGTCTGAAGTCAATTCCCGATTCATGTGTTTTCCTGTCCAGCTCAAGTCCTACAGACACTTGCTTCGAGATCCCACAGCCCGAGCTCTCTGGAAATGCCTGGTTCTGAGAAGGTTCTCTGATAGGCGGTAGGGCACCAACAGGCCAGCAAGTGGCTTTTGCTTGCACCCATGGGTCCAGGACCCCTATGAATGAAGTCCCAGGGCTCACCTTGGGAACTAGAAGTCCTGGAGACCCACACTCACTGATGAGGGGCTTTAACATTTCCGAGGTGCCTACATCATTCTTGAACTCCAGAGAAGGCCAAGAGTGGGTGGACCTCACCGAGGTATGATTTACTCCTCTACTTTTTTTTTTTTTTTTTTAATATATTTTCTTAATTTTTAACAGAGAGAAAGGGAGAGAGATAGAGAGCTAGAAACGTCGATGAGAGAGAAACATCGACCAGCTGCCTCTTGCACACCCCCTACCAGGGATGTGCCCGCAACCAAGGTACATGCCCTTGACCAGAATCAAACCTGGGACCTTTCAGTCCGCAGACCAACACTCTACCACTGAGCCAAACCAGCTTCGGCTCCTCTACTCTTTTTACTTCACATTGTGTTTTTCACTAAGGAAGGACATGTAAAAGTTCAGAGCAGTTCTGAATACTGGCCAGTCCCTGTGTTTGTGTGAGGCTGGATGAGGCAGCAATGATGCAGAATCTGACACCTTCCCAGTGAGATACCACGCCCACTAACCCGCCAACAGAGAAACACATGTCATGAGAAACCAAGGACTGACTTATGTCCTGCTTGGATGTTACCTCCTGGCAGTTCCTGCGGGGATTAGGTTAGGGCCATCATGAGGATGCTTAGTCCTAAAGAAAAAGGAAAACGTTTTGAGGAATCTGAGAATTTTAACAGAGAATAGATGCGAGATCTGGGTTCTGATAGCCTCTTCTGAGACCCACTTTGGGTTTCGTGACTGAGTCTCGTTAAGTCACATAAATTGAGCATTGGTTGGACCAAGACCAGAACTATGTCTTTTCAGGGATGGACTGGCATAGATTATAGAGTGTTAGTCAGTCATTAACTCTCCAGTTTAATAAAATGACAGATGGATATGATCAGATGTGCATTTCATTAAGCTGAAGCCATGAGTTTTGGGCAGACTCTAGTGATGTTTCTAAAGAAAGGGCAGCTAGCACAGTAGGTAGGAGATCGAGAATTGTTTTTAAAGGCGTGGGATCTTAGGGAGATTAAGGAAATGAACTTGCTCTGAATCCACAGGCATTTAACCCCCTGCAGCCCGACGATACAGTCACGAAGAAGCTTTAAACAGATAAGCCATCATACTGGGTGTAGAAATGTTCCAGCTTCCATAATTCTTTATTAAATATTTGACAAGTTGCATCACTTCTTTACAATGACTTCACTTTGTCACATGACTGTTTTGCTGTCAGGAAAACAATCTACAATTTCTCATTCGACTGCTCGAGTAAAACGAAAAGCCCAAAGGATTCTGTTCTTTAAACAAAAGTTTTCCTGTGTGTATCAAATGCAACCATATTCGAAAGCTACTCGGATTGTGAAAATGAGCATTGTCCGTAAGTTGTCTTAAAAAATGTCAAAGTAGTTTGGTATTTAATCACTGTATCAAATAGTACTTGGCTTTTTCAGGTGGTGGGTTTATCAGACAAAGTTATGAAACACTGAGAATTCCTTTGGAATGCTTGAAACTCTTTTCACCTTAAATGTCACTGTGTTTTTGTCACGTTTCATATGATAATCGATCTTGAATTAAGGAAATGACAGCATATTAACATCATCTTGGGGGGTTCTCTCAGGCTCCAAGGGTCAGAATTCTCAGGGTACAGCTTGGAGAAAACCAGAAGGAACTAAGCTCTCACTCCCTTTCAAAACCAGACTGCTCAAGAAAGGTGTAAAAATGCTATACAAATATATACATGTATATCTGGGCAGCATATGCACGTATATTTGTATATAAATTCTTTACATACATAGTAGAGAAAGAACAAAGTTCCGCAGAACTATTACACGAAGGGAACCATGGCAAGCTAGGTGAGATCAGTCTCGGCAGGAGCTGACACTGGCTTCTATGGGAACACAGGTCTGCAGACACAGGGCTACGGTCACGAGAAAGGCTGGCGATGCACGGATACAGGCTGAGGATGCAATTCACAGAGGCCTGTGGCCAATGTAATTAGAGTCCTATTGTTACTCCTTACAGACAGACTAACCAACAGGAAGACATGCGTTTTAGACATGCATTGCCATGTGTTACATCTTTAAAGATGGATAGATGTCTGATGAGAGGTTTTCTTGGAAAAGTTCACACAGAAAGCTCTCCTTTACTGTAAAACATTATACAGCTCACAGCCTAATGTTACAGCATTTTCTGACACACTGAAAACTCTCGTGTGTGTGTGTGTGTGTGTGTGTATGTGTGTGTGTGTGTGTGTGTGTGTGTGTGTGTGTGTAGACATATGCAAGGGTATATACACTGTTCATTAAGGCTTAGATAAATTAAAAAAAAACAAGTGGTCCAAAGTATATCACATTTTCTTCCCAGTTTTAAAATCTAAAGTACAAAGTGGAGTCTATAAGGATTTTTAAAAACACTTCTTAGACCTGAAATTGGCAGTTTTGACTTATCAGGATGTACCCCAAAGCCTGGATGCGAGAGAGGTAGTGATCTCCTGGGGTCAGGAAGGGAGCAGACCAGGCAGTTACCCTGCACAGCAGCACCCCTTATTGGCAAGGTGGAAAACGACACCAGATTGCAGATCCCTCCCCTCCCTGTCAGCACAGGGGTGCAGCCTCCATCTGGGTGATGAGGAAAGAGGCAAAGAAAAGACAGGTAGCACAGTGGGCAGGAGATCGAGAATTATTTAACCCAGGCTCATTTCATAGGTTTTAAAATTTCAGAGCTGTGAGACAAATCTTAGGAAAATACTAGTCAAGTGTCCAACAATTAGCAACTGTTAGAACAATTAGTAATTTGTTGCATATGAACTTGGCTTTTAAAGGAGCCAATTTGGATCTGGCAAGATCAAACAGCAATAGCACATGCTGTCTATTTTAACAATGTGAGATGGAGAAAGTGTTTTATATGTTTTGCAAACCATTTTTCAGAAGGCGGGAGGAATAATCCGTGCAAGGTCTCTTGATAACATTGGTCACCTGACCCATAGGGAATACTTGATGTTAGCTACCAAGGGCCCCTGGAAACAAAAATCAAAGAAGCATCTCACACTGTGAACTGGCAGAGGCCTGGCTGGAAGTGTTTGGGGAACTGGAGAGAAGAGCACTGAAGCGGAATACAACTTCCAAACCGATAAATGCCCTCTTGTTTCCTGTTCCCCAGGCAGCTCAGCACCTGAAGCTAATCCCCCTGGGAGGCCTTTCCTAATTGATCTCCAGGTCAACAAGAGGCAGGAAGAGAAATAGCCAGAACAGACAGATGGTTGTGATAACAGATGTTCAAAGACCTTCAACATGCAGTATGTAAATGGGAATCGTACCTCCTAACCTCATGGCAAACCGGCCCATGATAACCGTGCCTTCTTCTAGAAACTAAAACACACACACCTGGCTTCAAGTAATTTCTAAGGAAACAGAGGTTAGAGAGACCCTGGACTCCGGAGTAAGGTCACTGCTGGGGACACCTAGAATGCTGACCAGACCGGGTGGAGACCCATGGAAATGACCCATCCTGCTTCTCGCCTGACGCGCTTTCTTTACCGCCTGCTGTCATTACGTCCAGAAGATGACAGAGAGTGGTCAAGATTTAGAGGAAACAAGAGATATGACTACTTTCAACGGATAGGGAACACTGAGTACTGTTGAGAACTAGGGAACCTTATTTGGATTACAAACAAGCAAAAATGAATCTCAAACCCAGCACGATGAAGCTGTTATTGAAATCAGACACTAAGGAATAGATGAACTGAACTGTCATTCACAATCACTGCTATTGAAATATTTACAGGGGCAATAGGTGGATAATTCTCATCTGTTCCTGGTATACAGGTTACCTTAGAGTGACTTTTCTTTCATATTCTTAATACTTTGTCTAATTTGCATTTAACAAACACTCTGATTTTGAATATATAATTCAAAAGTGATAGAAGACCAGAATTGCTGGATTTCACCCCTTCCAGTTGCATGATCACTCTCAGAACCCACCCAGCACGCTGCTCACCAGGCTTTGGCACACGTCTGACAGAGAGACCTGACCCTGGACAAGGAGAGGCTGTAAGAAGGGGTTTTGCCATTGAGACATTTGTTGGGGGCAGGGGGAAAGGGGTAGATTCCCTCCAAGAGATAAAAATACTGAGCTACACTGTGGTTCCCCCTCTCCCCCCCACCCCAATCAGCATCTATGTTTTCTGATCACTATTAGGCATTTTAAAGCCAATATGCAAAGGGGGCCAGCCTTCAGCTTGGCAGAAACCCACCTTCTTTAGACACTGTGGACTTTAGCTCATTTACAACCCCGACACACAGCTTCTCACAAGCCACCAAAAAGAATTTCTTCCACCAGAAGGTCCTTCTTGCATAACAAACAGAAGCCCTAAGGCCACCATTTTTGTCTTCTTTCTGACTGGCAGGAGATAAGCTCTCTAGTGTTCCCTGGCGACCACCACAGGCTCTAGGATGACACAGAGTAAGAAGGCCAGCAGGGCTCAACTCCCACACTGCCTCGGGTGATCTCTCACAACAGAATTCTGCACCAGGAATTACACTGTGCACACATCCTCATCCTGCCCCCCGGCCAGCTCGACAGCCTGGCCGTAGAGGGGCAAGTCCTCCTGCTCCCTTTTTATCTGGCACACGACAGACACAGGCGGCCCACAGCACGGAAGCAGCATGCAACACACCACAGGGAACAAAGCTGGCTCAACCGAGTGTGTATTAAACTCATCTCTGAGCAGAAATCAGAAAACAATTGGCAAGGGCTCACAGCCAGATCCTATACACCAGCAGCCAAATTCACTGTTGATAGGTATGGCACTGGAAAGATGTGTGCAGGGAAAGAAATAATCATCAGATTTAATGTCCACAAAAAACAGAACACAAACCAAACCAGGTCTGACCTCCATGTAGTACAGAAAGAGCCTTCGGAACTGGTGCAGTCAGAACAACTGGTGACTTAGGGGTTATCAGCAAACACATACAACAGAAGATTAGACAGGTCTGGTTTCCAGTTTCAGATCAGGCAGTGACGAGTTTCATTCAAATAAATGTCTCTACCCCAAACAGCAAAGAGGGAAATATAGTAAAAGAAGAATGTACAGCATCAGGAAGGGTTAAGTAATTTCTCCTATTAGAAATGACTGTCCACCCCCATCTCAAATGTGTAAGAACACAAGTACTTCTAGGGAATAATGGGGTGATTCCTTCCAGTCACCACAAAGTTTTTCATGTTATGGTACAACTCTCCAAGCATGTAGCTATTATGCTAAATTTGTACAAAAAAAAAAATCTAATATCCACTTTGTTTTCATTCCGAGTATGGAAAAAATTATCATTATGCCTAATGTTATACTTTAAATGCTCTCAAAGTACTTGTCTGTAAGAACGATTTGGACATAAAGCAGTCTTCCAGTTCTAGTAAAGTTGAGTGTAGGGTGTCAAAGTACTTCAAAGTAAAAATGTCACAGACATTAAACCTGGCATCCAAGTCAAATACAAAAAAAAATATATGCTCACTTTTCCAAGTACATGAGACATCTTTAATTGTAATGAAATGAAATCGAAAAATCGGTCTAAATCATTTTCAAAAAGTAAACATGAGTTGTAATACTATACCTGTAGAGTGATTAATTCCATTCATTGTCATTATAAAGTATGCAAAATATTTATTAAGGGCTTTGCCTACAGAGGCACAACATAAATAGAATTAAGTCCTCCTGAAATGTAATTAGTGTACACATCAACCAGTTGATAATTCACGGTGGAAAATGCAGAAACGGGACCTGGGACTGGCTTCCCACTTCTGGACTTGGGCAAGTCATGGGCGAAGGCTCTGCTCCAGGAGCCATGATGTGCAGTGCTCCCTGCCATCATCTCTGCAAAGTCCGTTAGGCAAACGCAAAAGTGCAAGCAGGACTTGCTGGACGAACCACCATTCGAGGCAGGGGGCGCTTAATCCACTCCCTCAAATCCTTGAGCGTTTTCCACAGCCATGAGAAGTTTCTCTCGTAAATCTTCGAAGGTTTCGTATGGAGGTAAGTCAAGGCGGTTAAAGCTGCAACAGCAACAAAAGTGTAGGTGAAAAGCCACCCCCAGTATTCTTTAGTTATAACAGCATTTCCTAGATTTGGCTCAGGGGGCATTTGGTGTTGGAGCAAAAGTATACAAATGCTTTAAATGAATTCTCATGATCAGAATATAAATGCCAGCGAGGAGACTGTCCACACCCATTAGGCTATGTAACCTGCCGAGAAGAGAAAATAATTTTCTAATAGTCCATGAGCCCTGTCTACTCCAGCTCCATAGGAGACATGAAAGGCAAGGTAACTGACATACACTCCAAGATTTCGAATCTCTAGAAACACAGAAGGATTTGTGCATTAGGAGTTCTGGATGCACGGAGCATGTCATTCCCGAATGCTCTCATTTCGGCATCAGGCCCTGAGCCAGCCCTTGGTTTCCGTCACAGGCCTTAGTTTTCATCACAGGGTGGTGATTTCTGTTCTGTAGATGAAGGTCCTGACACACAGAGAGGTCCCATCTCTGTGTCCCAGCTCTCGCCCCTGGAAGTGCGGCAGACTCAAGACCAGCACCAGGCTGCCTGGGTCCCAGAACCAAAGCTAAGCTGCCCCCACCAGTTAACGTCAGGCAAGCAACAGACACGTGAAGTGAAGCGCTGCATTTATAAAAAGCCCTGATTTACCCCGAGGCAAGGCTTCGTCTGGAGTGTACACATACTCCTGCTGGTAGCAAGACACACTTGTCTAATAGACCAAGTTCAAAGTCTGGCTCAGCCACTTGCCCGATGTGTGACCTGGGCAGGCCACCACCCTCTCTGAGTCTGTCTGCTCTTTGGCAAAATGGAGAAACTTCTTGCAGGGTGCTGGCAGGGTCAAAACCGAGTGTATGTGGGTGTCCTAGCACACAGCAAGTGCCCAGGGATGGTGAGCACTATGATCATTTGCTCACCATTCACTGAGTGCCCACATGGGACATGAGGAGTGAGAGCCCTAGACACAGGATTCATGCCTGGGGGGTGGACTGCTGACGTGTACCTGTCATGAAAATGGCCACCGTGCCACAGATAATGACGGTTTACCCTGTGCAGGCAGCATTGCTAAGTACTTTTCATTTATGACTTCAGTGAATCCTAGCAATTACCCTATAAAAAAGGTCTTGCTTCATCCCTGGTTGAGGCACAGAGAGGTTAGGTAACTTACTCAAGGTCACACAGTAAGCATTTGAGTATATGTTGGCTCCAAAGTCCAGTTCTAACCATTGGTTTGTGCCATCTCATTGTATAAGAATGCTCCCTCCTGGCATTGGTATGATTCCAAGTTTGAAAAGCTAATGATTACCAGCAGCAGTAAAAAACACATGTCCACAGTGGTTCCTTTACCAACCCGAGTGTTTAATAAGACACACTAAGCTCTCAGATTTTTAACAGTCCCTAAACATTATGAGACAAAGGAGAGAATACCAGTGCTTCTCAGAGTGGAGTTCTCAGAAACCCAGGAATCCTAAAACAGTAAGTCTAAAAAAAGTTTTTAATTTTTGGTTTTCATTCTGTTGATGACCTCGAGTATTATTTTACCAGTTATAAAGACAGAACTCCACACCTGCAGACTCCACTTAAAAGAGCTGACCACAAAAGGCAGCTTTGGTATTAATTTAAGTTGGTATTTCCGCCCAGGGCCTGCATTCCTTAGGGATCTGGAGATGCATTCTTGAAGGTCTGTGACCACTGTTTCCCTCTAATATGACCCACTTCTTAGAATTGCAGTGCATACACACCAAGCACCGAGGACAATGCCGAGAACACACTAAGTACTTAATAATTGTAGTTATCATTACCTCCTAGGTCAGGGGGCCGGGGCGGTCTAACTATGGACTTCCCTATCCTCTGTGGGCTTCAGTGTCTCCGTGGGTAAGTTGGTGGGCCGAAGGGGATTGTTGTTAGAGCTGACAACAAAGAGCAGGTAGGTCTGGGATTCTTAGTCAAGTGTAATGTGTGATCCTTGACAGGGCAATGAAATGAAACCCTTTAAATATCGGACACCCAATAATTACATCTGAGAGTGTGATGGAAAGTGCCAGAAAGAACCAGACCTACCAGCCCTTGCTCTCCTAGTAAATCAGGTTTGCATTTTGAAGCTTAACTGTGTGTTTTATAGGAAACATGGAAGATATTAAACATCCATATGGTTAAGTCGGACTGTATAAGGAACTGCTGCTGTGAGGCAGCCAGCAAAGCTGGTTTCCTGTGTGAGAGTCAGGTCCAGGCGAGGCTGGGAGCAGCCAGGCTCAGAGAACAAAGGCTGCCCTGCCAGCCAGCGTGGCTGCAGCCAGCACTCCCCTGGGCTGGCGCAGCTGTTCTGGGGGGAAGACCATCATCAGGAAGCCAGTGAAGGCATGTACCTGGGTTGCAACTTTGACTTCCTCCCTCCTTCCCCCTCCCCTGCTCTCTCCTTTCCCCTCCCCTGCTCTTTTCATACTCTCTAAATATCAATGGAAAAAAATATCCTTACTCCTAGAGTGAGAATAAAAAATTAAAATACGGCTTGGTGACACGGGTACATTTTTGTCACTCACCATGTGTGAGCTCTGGGCAGTTTGTCAGGACTCCCCCATTGCTCTATTGTAAACAGCTGAGGACCATTGGAACCTAGACAAGAAGAGAAAAGAAAAGTGAATGCTCACAGTGCTCTAGGGAAGTAAGTGACTAAGAAAGAGAGGGTGAGCCGAGACACTCTCTAGCAAGAGGTTTGCACATGCTCTGTGTCACCTTCAGATGGAATTGAGCTAAACAGACACCATAACACATGGAAGTGCAGGGCTGCTACTGATGTTCAGCCGAGCCTTGGGAATTTAAATTTAAAACTATGATTTGGGCCGAAACCAGTTTGGCTCAGTGGATAGAGTGTCGGTCTGTGGACCAAAAGGTCCCGGGTTCGATTCCCGTCAAGGGCATGTACATTAGTTGCGGGCACATCCCCAGTAGGGGGTGTGCAGGAGGCAGCTGGTCGATGATTCTCTCTCATCGATGTTTCTAACTATCTATCCCTCTCTCTTCCTCTCTTTGAAAAATCAATAAAATATAATGAATAAATAAATAAATAAAATTATGTTTTTGGGAAAAAGAAAACATGACTTTAATTTGCAGAGCAGAAAAATTTGACTTTTTAAATCTATAGTAAGCCCTGCAAAATCCTGCTCCCTGGAGGTGAGGCATCCTGTCAACATTTAGTTTATAGCCATGTGGATGGTTCTGCAGAATCTAATTTTTAAAGATAGACCAAAATAAACAAACAAAAAAGACAGTCTCCTGCTCACCATAAAGTTCAGCAAATCCATTCATAGGTACTCGGGACGTCCCCGTGACAAACTGCAGCAACCGAATACGCTTCTCAGCGTCCATCAGCAGCACAGCCTAGAAACAGAGGCAGAAGGTGACACTCGGCACACCTTACTTCTATGGCAACGTAAGACCTAGATGGCTGACTCTGCAAACAGTCCTTTTATTTTTAATGGCCATCACAACGTTGGCCTCTCTGCCTTAGAGAGCAAGAGATCACAGTGTCTCTTTCTTCTTCTGCAATGAGTCAAAATCTATACTAATAAAATGGTAATATGCTAATTAGACCAGGTGACTGGCCAACTTCCTTTTGGACAAAGCTACAGTTTTGGGGGCCAAGACAGAAGTGGTTAGGGGTGATCAGACCGGCAGGGGAGAGTAGTGGGAGTGGTCAGGCTGGCAGGAAAGGGCAGTTGGGGGCAATCAGGCTGGCAGGGGAGCGGTTAGGTGGTCATCAGGCTGGTAGTGGCGATTAGGGGTGATCAGGCAGGCAGATGAGTGGTTAGGAGCCAGCAGTCCCAGATTATGAGAGGGTGAGAAGGATGTCAGGCTGCCAGATAGATCGGGCCTAAATCGGCAGTTGGACATTCCCAAAGGGTCCCAGATTGGAGAGGGTGCAGGCCAGGCTGAGGCACCCTCTCCCCACCCCGTACAAATTTTGTGCACCGGGCCTCTAGTAAGTGATATAAAAAGCCAAGTCTCTGATGGCACTGATCTCAGGTTACTGTTTTGCAAGGCCTGCCAGATCTCCTGAAAGCCAATGATAATATATAGGAGTTGAGAAGTGTCAACACTGGGAGAACTCAGGTTATGAGGTGGGATTTTAGACTGTAGACAGATTCTTGAAAGATGACACTTAAAAAAGAAAAACAGAGCAAGGATAGACCTCTGAAATAATCTGTGTATCTTACATAGTTGGGTTATTATAAGAATTGGGTTGGTAATGCTACTTGAACTGCTGTAAAAACACAAACAAACAAACAAAAATCCAAAATCAAAACTGAATGAGAATTGGACTAGTGTTTTAAGAATCAAATTTTTTCTTTTTATCTCTATTTCTGCTGGCACTTGAAATATTATTAAAAATAGCCATTTAGATATTAAAACAAGCCTGTGATTTCTTATCCAAAATTCTTTTTTTTTCTATAATTGGGTTTTTTAAAGTCACTTGATCATCTCTCTCTTGGACCCACTCATTCCCATTATACTTCTCTCCTAAGCTAAACAGAATGCAAACATTAACCTTCATACTAAATAAAATTTCATTTGTAGCCTGAAAGATATAAAATATCAAAATGTGTTGGAAATAACAAAACAAAACAAAACAAAAAAATTGGGAAACTGTTTTTTAATCGAAAATAGTATCTTGGAGAAGCCTGCCTCCAAAACAGGTTTTCGCCCAGAGGCCTCCAGTTCTTATTCACACACTGGAGGGCTCCTCCAACTCTTGAATCCAATTACCTCCTTTTCAGACTCATCTACTCAATGGGTTCCTCAAACAGAAACCACTTGAATCTGGGGGTTAAGGAAGGGCATGTGCTGCGATAAGGATCAAGGACCGCTGTTCCTGGAGGAACACAAGGGCTGCTTCTGGCTCAGGTTTGCCTCTTCTCTTTGCCAGGAGCCCACATACTGACAGCAGCAGCTGAACTAAAGCAAGACCGTGGGGAGCGCAGGAGAGCATCAGGCCTGACCCAGGTGGAGGAGCAGAGTGTGGACCCAGGAGGCCCTGGCCTTACCTTCCAGAACCACTGAATGACAGGGTGGTTTGGGCAGTAGCCGTTCTTGTAGATGGTATGCTGTCTCCAGTCATTCACGTCCACATCGCCGAGGCCGCACATCAGCAACTAGGAAAGAGAGAGTAGAATTGTACACGGGGCACAACGTGAATGCCAAAGAAACCGCCCGCAGAGAGCTGGCCTTTCTCAGGGCCAGCATGCTGACCTGTCACAGAAACAGATGCAGGGAACATGTGATTCACATTTTACCTGCCACGGCAGACCAGGCAGCATCTGTAACAGGGGGGCCTAAGTCTAATGCTGTACAGACCACACTTCCTGCTGGAAGTGGGAACTCCAGATTGATCGTCTGTCCTCCCTCCCTCTCTAATCTGAGCACAGTGCTCATAGATTTTCTTATGCTCCATTTATATCTCATTACCCTAGCTGTCTCCCCTTCTGAGAGGTTATTTGTCTCAATATTTGACACTATCTCCCTACCCACAAAAGAATTCGTGTGTTATGACAGCAAGATTTTATCTCACCCCAATCAATCTACCCTGGGGAGGGCAAATTACCCATCTGCCCAGTGACCCAAAAGCGTGTTCTAATGGAGGGTGACCTATTCTAATGTGGTAACCAGTTCATTGACTTAGCAGCTAGCTAAGTCTGCTTTTCTTGTCATCTAACCCTCCAGTAGGGATGGTTTCCTGTGGACAAATAAACATGACTTTCCTGCAGAGGAATGAATGTAAAGGAAAGAGAACTGAGCCAGATGCCTGAGAACGGGATGCTTAGGTCTAACTGTGCCAAAACCTTGTTGGGTAAACCTGTGAGCTCACTGACTTCTCCCTGCCGCAGTTTCCCCCACTCCCCATCCACCTCCCCCATCCCCAGGCAAATGAAGGGCTTACACTATATAATATCTATGACATCATCTACTTGAAGTTTCCATTTTAAGATAAAAGCACAAAACCAAAACAGTCTATAAGACATGCTTCTCTGGATGTGGTTTGGACAAATGACTAATTGAATCCCACCAACAGCTTCTGAACAGATACAGTTCTCCTCTCAACATCCAAAGAGTGAGAGAGAGAGTCCTTTATCTTAAAAAAAAAAAAAAAAAAAAAAAAAAAAATATATATACATATATATATATATATATATATATATATATATACACACACACACACACACAATATATATATATATATATATATGCATTGATCTCTGAGAAAAAGAATGAGGAGATATAGATAGAAACATCAATGATGAGAATCATTGATTGGCTGCCTCCTGCACGCCTCCACCTGGAATCTAGCCTGCAACCTGGGCATGTGCCCTGACCCAGTACTGAACTGTGACATCCTGGTTCATAGGTAGACACTCAACCACTGAGCCACACTGGCTGGGTTCCTTTGCTTTATAAATCGATAGTACTCATCTACCTCAACACAAAGATGATGAAACAATTGAATACCAAAACTACCTGTTGTTGAATACCAAAACTACCTGTTGTTAACTTCTGACATTTCTCCTCCCTTAACACAGAGCACTTCAAGTTCACTGACAGGGTGGGTGGGTGGAGGAGGTGCAGCTGGGCCATGGGCGAAGGGTGCTGCTACCTTGGCTCTACTAGAAGCAGTTTCCTTGCCTGGGGCAGTGGGTCATGGACATGACCAGCTCAGGGGCCCCTGCTTGTCCTGCATGTCCCAGAACGGCCCTCTCCGGGACAAGGAATCTGCAGGTGATGACTCTGTGTTTCCTTACTCCCTGACTGGCAAACAAACAAGCCCCTTAAGAGACATATAGCAGATTCACCTAAGCTGATGCTCCAGGACATTACAGATCAGAAAACATGAAGATATCATTTGTGGAGTAATAAGAAACTTAAAAAAATCTACTTTACACAAAGTGTTTACAATACAAACCTCCAGCTCATTTTCATCAAAAATTTTAATCAAATCGATAGGAAGCAGTTCTGTGAAACCCTGAAAGAAAAAAAAAAATCACCATAAACACCTTTTTCCATAAAAGAGGCAAATTTTTCAGGAAAAAAACACACCCAACAAAACAAAACAAAAAAAACTTTCTTGATTAGCCAGGAAAAAACACATTCTTTACTAATGATTTAGATATCAGCGATAGCATCCATAGTTCAAATTCTAATAAAAACAGCCTAGTTATGATATAAAAATTTTGAAAAAGAATAGAATCCAGAAGGTTCAGATACTTGAGAAGTTTTTGAAGCCCTATGAAAATGTAGGTAGGCAGATTCCAGAAGTCACTTATGACGTAGTCTGAGAGCCAATGTGTCTAAAATATATGTGTCATATCAGTTAAAAATCAGGTCCTGAAGGCACTAGGTGACACACACAAGGAGGCAGTGGGCTCAGGATGGGAGAGCCCGGGTGCCCAGCATCCACAGGAAGTGCTCTAGCTGCCGGTAATGTCGCTGCTGAGTGGAGGCACCATGCCTTGGGCCTTGCTTGGGGCTGGGGTGTGTTTTTTTTGTTGTTGTTTTGTTTTAGAGCTACTTTTATTTATTTATTTTGTTTTTTTGAGAGAAATTTGTTGTTCCTCTTATTGGTTGGTTCTTATATGTGCCCTGAACAAAGATCTAACCCCATTGACATATTGGGACGATCCTCGAACCCAGTGGTCAGCAAACACATTAGTCAACAGAGCCAAATATCAACAGTACAATAATCAAAATTTCTTTTGAGAGCCAAGTTTTTAAAACTTCTTCTGACACCACTTCTTCAAAATAGACTCACCCAGGCCATGGTATTTTGTGAAAGAGCCACACTCAAGGGGCCAAAGAGCTGCATGTGGCTTGCGAGCTGCAGTTTGCTGACCATGGCTCTAACCAACTGAGCAACCTGGCCTGGGGAGGACCAGAGTTTTGAAAGTACGGAAAGAGGGGTCATGTGGGGTGGGGCCCAGGAATGTGCCTGTGGGTTTCTTAGATAAAGTATGAAACCTTATTCTCAAGTGTATCTAACTCATACTTATGCCCCCAAGCTCCTAAAGGTAAATTTTGCATCAGTTCACTGGGAATTTATAATGTATAGTTGGGGCTTGTTGCTAGGTTTGCTTTGAGTAATTAAAACCCATCATCAAGATTTAAGAAAGCATTTTGCTTTTGGTCAAAGAGAAGCATTTTTAAAAATGACGAATCCATCCCCTCAGGCCTCTCACAAGGGGCCTGGGGACACCACTGACATCAAATCCTTGGATCTGAGAGGTGCCTACATCCCATGTCATCCAGTGCCAGTTGGCACAAGGTGGTTGGCACTTTGCTCTAAGATAAAACTCAGCCTAAGAAAATATGTTTCCATGTGCTACACAGGAGTGAAGTCTGTGAGGAGCCGCGAAGACAGCAATGAAGGGAACGGCTTCGCTACTGAGGAGTTGGGTATGTTCAGCCCGAGAGTCCTCAGGCTTTGGAGGACCCATCAAGCAGTGCCAAAGGCAGAGGTGCAACTCCCAGCCTTTCCTTGGGCACCACCAGCAAATGCAGGCCAGTGGGCCTGGCTTCTGTTGGGGCCTACCTTCTGGTTCAAATTTATAAAAAGTTCTCTTTAAAAACAATTAAGGAACATCTATATATATATATTATAAAAGCCTAAGTGACCATTAAGACAGCACCACTGGAATAACCGGTTGCTATGATGCACACTGACCACCAGGGGGCAGACAATGCAGGACCTGCCCCCTGGTGGTCAGTGTGCTCCCACAGTGGGAGCACTGCTCAGCCAGAAGCCAGGTTCATGGCTGGCGAGCACAGTGGCAGTGGCGTGAGCCTCTCCTGCCTCTGTGACAGCACTAGGGAGTGGGTGGTTAGGAGCACTGAGCGCTGAGCCTGGCTTGGGCTCCTCCCTGCCCGCCTGTGGCTTCATGCACTGCTACATCCCTTGGGGGATGTCAGACTGCTGGTCTTGGCCAGATCTCCAAAACTGATAGTACAATATCGCCCGAGGGGTCCAAATTGTAAAAAGGGTACAGTCTATGCTGAGGGACCCCAACTGGTGCACAAGTCCATGCACTGGGCCTCTAGTTAAGAAATAAGAAGCAAAAAGGACAGCACTAAACTAAAAAAATGAAGGGTGGCCCCATGGTGGCTGACACTCCTGCCCTGGGGACTGGTCCATGATGCAGGCTGTGCAGCCCTGACCTTTGGGCTGTGTGTCCCCTGCCTGTGCCCGTCATGTTGTGTGGTGGGTGATCATTCCCAGGCGGACAATCCCAGCGGGTGCAGCTTACCTCCAAGAAGGCGTTCATTTGCTTCTGGACCCTGTTCACAAACCTCCACTGGATGACTAAGCTGAGGGAGAAAACAGAACAGTGTTTAAGCACCATCATCATTTCAAAGCTTACGTCTTTCTTCATAGCTTCAATCGAGGTTCATCAGACAAAGGAGAGAAACCCCTACACTGGCAAAGGAAATCGGGGCTCCCAGGCTGTGGCATGCACTGTTTATCCATTAATTCTTCGAGAATAACTAGAACACATGAGAAAAACCTAAAATCCCACTAAGGATTTCAAAGGAATAGTTGATTTCTTTTCCCCAAATTAAGGCTTAGTTTATATAAGTTGCTTTATGACTAAAGGTCATGGGTATGAATACAAATGCATATGTGAAGAACATGCATACATATATAAATTCACAATATACATGCCCGCCTGTGTATACATATGTACTTACATTTTTAAAGGGAGTATCAGCATAACATATTTTATCAAATGATATTTCACTCTAGTATATGTTGTGCAAATTTTTAACAATGACATACAGTGCAAAATGATGTACACTAATACTTTAATACTACAATAGAGGGTTAATGATAAGACCTCTTTATGCAACAAATCCACTGAAACCATCTGCCCTATGACAATGTCTAGTGACAGCAGAATTTACTGCCAGGCGCATCAACTTCGGATACCTTTCAAGGCCTTTTGTTGTGAAACAGCACAAGGACCTTGCCATCACTGCTCTAGCCTTTGAGAGGCACATGGCAATGGCCCTCGAGGACCAGCCCCCCTCACAACCGCTGCTCAGCCCCTCCAGACGTTCCTGTGCTGAGCTGCAATAGATTTCTATCATCCTTTTCTCATGAAGATAGCTTCGACTCTGCCCAACCCCACACCCATCAAATCTGAAACCTCAAGAAATTCACTGCCAGGAATGATGCACAACACACGTCACAATGTATGAATCCCCAACTTTTCACCCTAGTCACCTGGGTGGAGTGTTCTAAAATCTATTCAAAGTCTGAACTTTCTGAATGAGGACAGCCTTGCCAGCCAGGGTGCTAATCTACTTGCTGAGATGGTCCAAGTACAGGCCACCTGACATGCTATTCAACATAATAAAAAATTGTAAATGTGCATATACATACTCAATATATTCCCTTTTGTTTTCATTTGTAACCATTATTTCGGACCCATTGGGCTTCAGATCCACTTGATATGTCTGTAATTACAAAGACAAAACAACAGTCACCATCATGAAGTTATTCTGTGGATTATTACTGGGTAATTTATGTCCCACTATAAGAGGAAGATGAGCAAAATTTATTTGGAAATATTTTCCAGGAAATAGACTTTGTGCACAAGACAATGTTTTACAAGGTTTTTATGTTGTTAAAACAGTTAAGGATGTTATCATTAAAGGCAACCTATTTTATGTTATTAGTGAGTTTTCATTATTCTTCAGACTTTAGAAACAATGGAGAAGGAATTAATTGTGTTTACAGAAAAGCCAGGGTATGTCCCCTGTGACTACAGACCCAAATCCTAATGTATCTTATTTGTTTTGGAAAATTAAATTTTACAGTCACCAAAAAGATGTGTGGGATTTTCTTAAAAAGGCAAAACTCAGGAACTTAAAGAAAGAAGCTTAAGACATGAGGCTGCAGAGAGGGATCTACCCGATCATAAAGAGCAAAGCAGCTGAGGTTGAGCCACGCCCTCTCCTGTGTGTGGGGCCAGCTAATACCAACGTGTACTGAGCAATGGCCAGCAGGAGGGGAAGGAGGGAGAAGCCGACTCTTTTACAAACAATATGTGTCTTCTCATAGAAACTTTGGGGAAGCACATGGGTGTAAGTTTATTCTGTCTGTTTGGCATATGATGGCTGTGCAAACACACTGAAATTTGTTCATTTGAAACATTCTTAGTCAGTCCCAGAAACCAGCAGCTCCAGATTCTCATCAATCAGGAAGAAAACAAATCACCAAATAATGGCAACAGCTGCAGTTTCATTACATGAAGCAACGGCTCGCACCACTTCATGGTCTGATTTTTCTAATTGTGGAATCAAAAAGCAAAACCAAACACCGAGGAAAGCCAGGGCACGGACACTTTCATCGTGGTAGCTGCACTCCACTGAGGAAAGACCTGGTGTGTGGCACGAGGGAGACTTGGGTTAGAATAAACTGCATTGTCCAGTCACCAGCTCTACTGAGGCTGAAAGCAGCGAAAAACTTGCACAGGTGTCTCTCTGATGCCCACAGTGTGGGTTCAAAGACTATTTTGAGTGCCTGCCTCATACCAGGCAGTATACAAAGTAGCATGGGCACAAAGGTAAGTGAAAGGCAGACCCGGTGCTGCTATCACCAAGACTGAGTCTGGTGGGAGCGGCATATGCTAAATACACACACAAATAAATGCCACATCTCTCATGGTACATGCCCCAGGGACACGTGGGAGATACTCTGAAGCATATGGCCTGGGTCTGATCTGAAAACAGGAGGAACAGCAGGAGCAAGAGTCCCGAGGCTCTGAGAAGAAACCTGGGACCAGACCCAGAATGCACGAGGGACAGCTGTACCTTCCCCGGAGATGGGGCAGGCAGGGCCACGTCATGCAGGACACCATGGGGCAAGTTAATCTCGAGGGCAATGGGCAGTCCTAACTGTTTCTGGTAGAGGGCATGACATGGCACTTCGACATTCTGAAAAGACCACTAATGGAGGCCAAAGTGCATATAAAATATCAGTTTGAAGTTTATGAGACAAGACAGTAGCTTAGACTTGGGTGTTAGTGGTGGAACAGTCACGGACCAAAGACAGATCTGAAAAAGACTTGGAAGCTAAAATGAACAGGCTTGGTGATGGATTGGGTATGAAAGATGCAATCAGTGTGTGGGTGCTTAATTAACTCTACATTTCTTCCCAGAATGAAGAATAGATACATTTGTTCCCTGTTAATCAGGTTAGCTCTCTAAAAAAGCAAGGCAGTAATTTAACAAGTAGGGCACCTGATCATTAGCTTACTCATCTTGTGTCCCGATTACTGCGTTATTCTACCTTGTTCAGCTCAAAAGTCAGAAGAATCTACAGTATTAAACCAAGAGATCTGAGAACTGTCTTTAATAAATAATCAATATAAACTATAATAATAATCAGAATCTTTATTAGAAGCTATTTAAAAATCTAAATATCTTGTGTTTGGTTTTCATTTATTAGGTGGAAATAGTGACATTTCACTGTTAACTAAAGTATTTCCAGATCACCTGTTCATGCCTTTGGCATTGCTAATGTCTGCTGAACTGTAAGCAAACTTTTAATGATCTCTGAAGCAGTAAGGAATCAATCTATTTCATTTCCCATATGGCAATCTTTAAAATTGGCTCCATCATCTCATTAATTTCAAGGCCATGAGACCTGGTCTGAGAGATGAGAAATCTGTGCTTCTGTGGAAGAATGAGGATCAGGGTAGGACATCCCTGAAAAGACCTCCCAAGAAGCAGTTATCAAAGCTTATCACAAATAAATCAGAGGTCCCAGGTTTAAGACAAACACATTCTACAGAACGTTCAGGTGGTGATGAAAATTCCTAGCAGGTGACTTTATCTTTGACATTAACCTTTCTGATTAATCTAGCCTTAATGACAGTGTGGGCACAAAGCAAGAAGGGATGTGAGAGAGAGTTGAGCCTGCTCGGCCCCAGAAGATAAATAACAACAGGACCATTAAGCAGAGAAAAAAGCCCAAGTTCCCCAAAACATCAACTACTCCTGATCATGTAATCATATCATTGAATAAACACACTATTTTTCAAAGTACCTAAATTCTAAAACCAAGGCACAAACGTTTATGCTTTGCTTTAGATTAGAAGTAGGTGCCCGCTCAGGCCCAGAGGCCTCAGAATTTCTGTCACTTTGCTGAAATTGGGGCTTTGCTTTCTGGCTTAACAATACAGTGCTGATACAATGAGATGATGACTAACAGCTAGTTCTCCTGCTGGTGCTTTTTAATTGTTCAGAAAAGTTGTGTTACAATCTGTGCAAAAGCAAGACTTTCTAAAAGTTGGAGAGGAGTCCCTGGGGTTTCCCGGACGTACCTGCCCAAAGTTTTCTTCATCGATACAGAACATGAGGTCCAGTTCAGTGGGGTCATTCTCCAGGATCCATTTCAAAGAGTTGTAGTATTCACTATCCTGGAGAAGTGGCCCAGAAACAAAAATTAAGCTTTTTTTTCTCTTAAAAATACAAACTTGTTTGACTTTAAATAATTAAGTCCTTCTACTGTAATTCCACGCACATTGCTCAAGAATTATATTAGTCTCTAATATGTTTTCTGCTCTACTTCAAACCTACTCTGCCCCTTTAATTTAAAATATAAACTAAAAAAGTGTTTTAGTAGCAGCAGGGTTTGTAGTTAAATCCTGTTCTCAGTGAAGTGGAGAGGAAGCAACCTGCTCTGGATGGCGGTCATCAAATTATACAACCAAACATGGAAGATGAATATACTTCCTGTTTCTGAAGAGTGAAAGTATCGAAGGACAATAGGAATGATGAGAACGTCTAACTAAGTAAACATCGATGGTGTAAATGCCACCTCTTTCTGTGCTTGTACTGCTCTCCGCAAGTCAGTGTAACGCAAGCCACAAGGGCCTGAACTCCCCTCTCTCAGGGATTCCAGTACTGGGATCGGGGCCAGGTTTGAACCTGCAACTCCAGTCTGTGCCTTTGACTGGAAATCTAACCCTTGAAACATAGGTGTAGGGGGCCAATGCTCTAACCACTGAGCAGGCCCAAATCGCTTTTCAAAAAACTTCTCAAAGCATTCATTTCCTAACTTGTTTATTACTCCCCACTTAGTTACTCACCCCCTCCACACCTAGAGCGACTGTATGTACTCTTCCCTGTATTAACTGCTTTGGCTTGTGCCCTCGCCATTTCCTGAGGTCAGAAAACAGGAATAGCAGATGAGTCTCTAAATGTTCAGTATTAGCAGTTTTCAATGGAAAACAAGCGCTGCCATGAGGTCTCCAGGTGACCTTGGGATTTAAGCTGGTCACACCAGTCCCAGGTAAGCAGAAGTAACTGAGGTTTGGGTGTATCCAACTCAACAACCATGCTTCTACTTATTGGAAACCATAATTTGCTTATTAGAAAATCAGGAGATCAATTAAACTCCTGAACAATTAAATGGTCCCTATTATTGACACTGCATGGAGACACTCATCTGTGAGACCCACATGGCCTATGACACTCAGTGGGAGGATCTGCGTTCACTCACCACTGATTCCATGTCATTCAGAGTTATCTGCTTTCCCAGCATCATTTTGTAAAATGGTCTAATGAAGAAACCTAAAACAGGATGAAAACAGGATTAGTTTCAAGTCATTGATATTACTGTGCAACAGAAATGAAATACAAGCTGAACCTGCCTTCAATTTGAATGAGAGAGCAGGACAGGACAATCAAAGACTTTTTGTAGTATCTGTAACCAGAAGACCAGGGCCTGGTGGTTTGTTTTTATGGAGGGGTGGGGAGTAAGGAGGATAGTTATACTTGTAAAAGTAGTACAGCAGAAAGGGGTCAAAAAGGCTCGTGGGGGTGACAAATAAGCCTCAAGGCCTGGTAAGAATTTTCAGTGTAAACAAGAATCGTGAATAGGGAACAGAGGGCACTCTAAGCAGAGGGACAAGATCAGGACTTGTAAGTGGTCTGTCAGGGCGGAAGCACAAGGTGTCCTGGGGAGGACAGGCCAGAGAAGGGACTGAGAGTGGGCAGCCTGTGTGGGGGGTGTGGCAGTTTGGGCTGCTGCCTGAATGAGGGCAGTCACTGGAAGGCCAGGTGATTCCATCTGCACATCAGGACCACTCCTGGGGCAGGCATGGAGGAAAAGCAGGAAGGGACAAGAGGACATGAGGGAGATCACTAAGGAGGCTTTGCAATCTTCCAGGGCAGAATGAGGCAATGGCAGTGAGGACACCATCACACAGGTGTCCTGCAGGGCCCCCCAATCCACCTGTCCACAGGCAGGTCAGCATCACATGCCTCCTCACTGGGGTGTTGAAACTGCAGCCTTCACCCCCATCTAATCAGTCACCAACCCTCTGCAGCATATTCCTATTCACACTGGCTCAGGGTGGCCCTAGGCTGCAGACTCAAACACCTTCGGTGTCTCGGGAGGCAGAGGATGAAGCCGATACAAGGGAGTGTGGGCTGGCTGTGGCGTGTGTGTGCTCTGCCTACAGGGGCATTTGCATTTTTAAGGGCATTCTGGTCCTCAATTCTGCAATTCCTCACATGCACTGGTATCACCTTTGGCAGTAATGTTCTTGATTGCCCCACTGTTCCTGCTGTTTTCCATTACTCCCTCCATGAGCCTTGACTCAGCCAGTACTTGCTCTTCTGAAATGGTCCAGGCTTCTAACTGTTCAAATCCCACCCGCCTCGCAAACTGGGCCTAATCTTGGTTGAAGTGCTCCTGGTCCTCCAGGCAAATCTGGGTTTCCTCATCTCATTGTTGGACCCCCTATGACCCTTCTGATTGGACTCTGTCACTGTGAGTCTTCTGCTTTTTGCTTGTTCAGAGTCGGGATCATATCTATTTCCCCACAGCCACTAATGATGTGCTCTCACTTGGCAGAAGGTGTACAGACTGACCTTCTAAGAAAAGGATGAAGTGAATTTGAACAGCTGAAATAATCTATGGCACAATGCTAGGGTAGCAAATTAAAATATATTCACATAACGTACATATATGGAAAGAGTGCAGTTTCTTTTCCATGAAAAAAAAAAAAAGTGCTTATTTCCCCCAAGTAAAAACACTGAAATCAGAGGATCAAAATCAGCCAGCAAATACCAGTAAAAATGTATTGAAGGATGAAGTACAGAGGGTCCATCAATTATTTACTGGAATAGCTAAGGTTCCACAGAAGCAATTAACATTACTTCTCTGGACCTCTCTCTACAGTAGCTGTAATGCCAATCTCCAATCTTATTCTCTCTTCTATCCTCAACAATTTTATTCCCAAATCTTTCAAAAATATTTTTAATTCCCCTTCAATGATTTAAATAGTGTCCTTTCTCAAGGGCAATGTTTTGGAAGTGACCAAATCCATAAGAAGTCTCTATTACAAGCCTAATAGATACGACAGGGGAGGGGTCTGACTTCTAATTTACAAAGGACCCTGAGATTATTCCATGGCTTACATGTTTTAAATAAGAATGAGATTACTTTGTGCCATTTGTGAGTCAAGGTCTTAGCTCAGCATAACATTACTGACAGTCTCTTACCATTCAAATAAAAATAATATATATTTACAGTCTCTTCACATTCAAATAAAATAACAATTTGAAACAACAGAATAGAGATGAATCTGATAATTTTGATTAACTTTTCATTTAGCTTTTCCATCTGTCACCAAATCTAGCTCTCCCTAAAAAAATTACAAGTTGTTCTTAAAAGCAGAAAACACATAATCACAGAATGTTCTGTGCTTCACACTTGTTTGTTTTGTAAAAAATTTTTTAAACTGTGTGTAGACATTATACTGTCAGTGCTCACATTAAGATGACACCGGTGAAAAACACCTCAATTACAGGCAAAACATAAAAATAATTGAATTACACAGAATCAGTTGAGCTTTTGCTTAACATCTGTGATGGGAAAGATGAGTCACCTAATAAGGAGCCATAAATAACACTGTCCTATTTTGATGACTTCAAAACTTTTTAATAACTTACCATCTAAAAGTTTCCCATGAAATACTGCCAGACCAGCCACTCTTCCAATAAAAGTGAAATAGGACAAATGGTCTTCATTACAGAGGCCTGAATTGGGGTTGATCTGAAGTGTGTAGTTGTCCCTTGGGGAAGAAGAGAGAGAAAAATCCCAATCACATTTTTAAAGAAGAAACACAAACTTTTGCATCTTTCTTTGCTGCCTGTCATTAGCTTTTATGGTACTCTGCTCCTGATGGGGAAAGGCATGAGCTAGAGAATGGGACTTACCATTTAGTTAGCCTCTTTCTGTCATCAACGACTGAGGTCTCATGGAGCTGGTGCACATGCCCTTTGTAAGTTAAACCGTAAGAGAGTGTGGACATTTTACTAATTTTTTGATTTACAAAAATGTCAATTGCATATTGTTCAGCCAAGTATTTGGGAAGGTGGGAATTACCACATAATAAAGGGATCATGCACGGACTGCAATGATGGATTTACTTCAGATTCTGAGGAGGAGGGTTTGTTCCTTCGAGAGGCATTTATTTGGAGACCAACATTTCCCCCCCAGGCCCAATGTTTGCTCTGACCACCGCTGCTGGGCCCTGACAGCTCCAAGGGCATTGGTAACAGCATGTGCTGTCTTAACACTATAAACCACAAAAATGTTTACATGTCCGTCTCTGGTCTCAAAATCATGAGGATCATGGTTTTCCAAGTAGGATCCATAGACAGATTCTTTTAGGGGATCTGAGAGATGAGGATCCTGCTCCCTTCTCCCCCGCTGTCCTGCCTGCCACTTCAATTTTTGTAATCAATTCTACATAGTGAGCTTTTTCATGGGAAAACAATAAGCAAGCTGGGCGATTCTTGGCTAGAACAACTGGGCAGGATCCTGAGTCTGATTTCCAACAGAGCCCCAGGAGAGAGCGGGAAATGTGGAAGAACCGGTGTCCCTTAGAGCAAGGCTGCCTTTTGGCAAGGCCAACAACTAGCCTACAGGTACTTGGGTCCACACCCTGCAGGAGGAGCGGGTGGCCTGATAAGCAGGCCATGGTGGAGTCCTGAGAAAGCAGCTGAGTCTATAGATCCCATGCCTGGCAACGATGAAGTCCTAAGCCCAGGGAATCTGGTTCTTCCTTTGGAGCCTGAAAAATAGGTCCTCCTCAAAGTCATCATAACTTGCCTTTAACTAGTGTTCTTTCAGAAACTAATTTTGTCTGTGAGAAAACAATGACTATCTGAATTCTGACAGTGACAAATTCTCCTTAATTAACCTAACATTATGACTGAAAATTGCCTCTTGTTCCTTACCGTAAGTACTGAGCACACTTTCAATTTCAATTAAGTGAACCCAACAGACAAGAGAAAAATCATTTTACGGTGTTCAGAGTACATTATCTCAACAGGTAGAGTCAGAACTTGTTCTAACTTATGGGGTGTGTGGGTTGGTGGTGGAGGGGAGTGGGGACTGAAAGACAGCAGTGTTAATTAATTTCAAATAAGTGAGCCACTTACTCTTTCATAAGTGGCTCATTTCAAAACTGTCAAGAATAAAACTGTTTTAGTGGCACACGTTCTGAATTTGCTCCATATACTTACGTTGCAGAGTATTCGAAGAGACCATAGTAGGGGTTGAACATCTCTTTGGACAATAAGAAGAACCATTCTCTGGCCACACCCCCATAATCAAGGCCTTTCTCTGATTCAAATTCAATCCACAGTCTAGCTTTTAGGACATCTGGTCTTTTCACAGACATGATCCTCCGATAGGACTCTTCAAAAATGTTATTTCTGTGAAGTTTCATTTCAAACCTATTTGGAATATCAGCCTACACAAAAGAAAAAAAATCACATAATCATACACTACATACGCACCTTACTTCACAGGAGAGAAATGATGGCAGCCTGCAAATAAACAAGCTGGGATGAATGGTTCCAACTGGGCGTCTCCCTCTTATGGAGGTTTCTTTGCACAGTCAGAAAGCCTAACTGAGACACACAGTGGCCACCAGCAGCTGTCAGACTGAGCTGGCCGCATGTGCTGTAGAAGAATGTCTGCTGAGCAGTCATCCTCCCGTTAATGAACAATTGTGGGGTGCTTATCTGCCCAGCAGCAACTGAGATATGGTTAACTGTATATACTGTTTCTGTCAAAGGAAGTGACTTCAGTCCAGGCAATCAAAATCCACAATAGTCTCCACCTGGCCAGGATGGGAGCATGCTCAACTCCAGCTGGTAGTTATGGTCCACACGCTGATTCTGCTACCATGGGGAGTGGGCCCCTGGTTATCATGCCAAGTTGTGGGAAAGCATCCCACAGGCCATCCTATATAATAAAGAGGTAATACGCAAATTGATCTTCACACCCTCCTAAGATGGCTGCCTACAACCAGGCTGGCAGGGGGGTTAGTGAGGGACGACCAAACAAGTGTACAAGCAGGCTGCGTGGGGTGACCAGGCTGGCGGGGGGGGGGGGGCAGTTAGGGGTGATCAGGCCAGCAGAGGAGGGCAGTTGGGAGTGGGGGGGGGCAGTGAGGGGTAACTAGGCCACTGTGTGTGTGGGGAGCGTCCAGACCTGCGGGGGGGGGGGGGGGGGCAGTAAGGGGTGACAATGCTGGCAGGGGGGGAGGGGCAATTAGGAGCAACCAGGGTGGCAGGAAGGGGGCAGTTATGAGCCACCTGGACAGCAATGGGGGCAGTTAGGGGCAACCAGGCCTTAACTGGCAGTTGGACATCCCCTGAGGGGTCCCAAATTGGAGAAAGTACAGGCTGGGCTAAGGAAATCCTTCCCCCCCCCCCCCGCGGCACGAATTTCATGCAGTGGGCCTCAGTAGTTAATAAATATGAAAACCAAAAAAAGTACTTGGCAGGTTATAACTGCTTCCTGGAAAAATGAGGGATGGGGCAGCTTTGCCATAAAACGGATTTGCATTTAGTGAAAGTGCCACCTGGAATGACACAGCGTGAAGTCCCTAAAGTCACCCCTTATGACTGGGAGAATGCAGGTGACTCACAGAGAAACTGGGGATTTTATGAGTTTAAATTTGAATCATTTCAAAAAGCAGTCATCAAAGAGCTAGTTGTATGAGGATGTTGGAAGGGAGGGCAGAACTCCTAAGTGCTCCGGAGGCAGAGACTGTCTCTTGCATCTCTGTCCCCAGTGCCTCACCCAGAGCAAATGCCTCAAAAGTGAGGCTCTGACTGAGGACTGGAGCAGGGGAGACAGTGATGCAGCACAGGCAAACTGGGGAGACCTGAGTGAGGGTCTTTCCCCAGTAAGAAGCTGCCGAGAAATGGTGACACCAAAAAAGAGAAAACATCCCAAACCCCAAACAAACAGTAAATGCACAAATGGAGAAGAAAACTGGTAAAACTTGTATCACAGAAATGAAATAACAAAGTAAAACAGAAAACCTATATTGAAAAATTTGGGATGATGTGTCAGTAGAAAATATTGTGATTTAAATCATTGCCTGTGGAAAACATTATTGGGTTTCTCAGTTTTGTAAAAATTGTATAGCATTTCCCAATGAGAATTTTCATTTGAAAATTACACTTGGTCTTAACATGCCAAATATAATCAAATATTATAAATCGTACTGTAGTAAGTAGTATAATTAAAATTATACTTCTGAATTTAAAGGGAAGGGCTTGAACATTTTTCTAACTAGGATCTAGGTTTTATTAAATAGGGTAACCCTAACAACTGCATAGGCTTCTCTGAATTTTTCAACTAGGTCCAAATTATTCCATTTCCCATCAAACAATTTCTATCTTTTTACGTATTACATAAGAAATTACCCTTCAGGTGATTTGATATGTAATACTAGCCAATCTTCACTTACCATTTCTGTTAAAAAGAAAATTCAGGTGGAAGATCGAGGTGGATCAAAGTGCAGTAAAAATAAGAAGTTTATATTCTTAGTACACACAGAAAAGTAACAAGTTGCTTGCACTGAAGTAACTTTGGTAATTTACAAAGGACTAAAACAGCATTTTTGGAAGACATGTTACTCACAGGTTTCTTTAATTTCTTCCTAAAGTAGTCATATTTCTGCTTAAATTCTCTGGAGTAAGGAACCGCCTAGAAGATAAATTTGTAAATGTAAATGAGGGGGAATAACACTTGCAACTTTTTGTAAACTGAGCCAACATTCAGAGAACTTCATTAATCATACACCTTAAAATTCTCATTCTCCATATTATCATTGAAATTAACATGCCTATGTACAGAGAACATGGGAAAGTTCTAGAAATGATTAAGGAAAATCAGCACTGAGTAGGGCTTTCACCCCTGAAAACAGCTATGCTGATTTTCAAGAAGTCATTTATGGATACACTACATAAAATACACTTTCCAATGTGACTTATGTCTGGATATGAGTCAGGGTGTAATCTTTATTTTTCTCCTGTCATTGAGGTAAGAGTTGGCTATGACATTTTAACATAGAACCCCAATGACCTCTACTGTCATTTTGAAAAGACTAATCCTGCTTTTAAAAATCTTTGGGAGGAAATGTAATGAGCAGAAAGGCAACTGGACTGACATTCTGATCAAGGACTGTAAGACCAGGTAGAGAGCACTCAGGAAAAGTCTCCCATTTGGGGGTCAGAAGGTTTGCCTCTTACTATTTAGTAAGTAGTCTTGGGTGAGGATTTTTTTTTTTTTTTTTTTTACATCTTAATGCCTTATCTGTGAAGCAGAGTTATGGTATCACAGGAATGAGCTCGGTAACTTCAACTATCATTACTCAAAGATTCTGGAATCTCTTTAGGCAAATAACATTTTAATACAGTCATTTAAATCTTCTCTACTTCTATGTTATAAAGTACAATAGCCAGAGTCCTGACTTCAGACTATTGAAAAGGCTTACTTTTTTTTACTTTTTTATTTTTTATGAAGCAGAGAGGACTGGCTTTTGCATATACATAGACATAACTATGACAGCCTCAAATTCGGAAGACTCATAGCTTTTTTGGCAAATAGTGTGCATTCGGGCAAGAATATTTCTGCTGATATAATTTGGGGCTAAGTTAATAAAATATACTGATCCTTAGAAAAGTGTCTCCAGACTCCAAACCTTCTACCTTCACCTTCTTATTCTCGACCAGAAAGAGGAGAAATGAAAAACATAAGCCTCCCCTCCTTTCTACTGTTTTTAACACAATCACACAAATAACTCAGCCAAAACAAAAACATATTACCAGTCATAGCAAACACTGATCATGCCAGTGTTTTGCTTTGTAATTCAAGAGCAACAGACATCATATTGATATAACTTAAGACAATTTATACTACATATGGTCTTAGTTTTCAATCCACTCTTCATTTGCTTTTCCACTGAACACTGGATTTGAACACATATCATATTTACTCTAGGAAGTGTTTAGTCTGATGAAATCGTGTGTGAATCCTTATTCTAGAAAAGGTAGAAACTTTGTCACTATCTGGACAACTACTAGTATAAGAAAAATGAGACAATATTGTGAATTAAGCCAATAAAGACATTATGATGTTGTTTGCTCTACCAATACTATGTCCCATAACAAACCTTTTTCTATCCAGTTTATTTATTCATTCTTTGGTGGTTCATTTGCTAATCCATTCAACAGGCATTTCTTGAGCATTTAGTCTGTGCCAGGCATTTTAGGTGCTAGGGAAATAATGGTACATCAACCAAGGAGTTCTTTCCCTATTCTCTTCTGGAGATTACAAACAATTAGGAGCAATAGGTAATAAGAAATGAGTGAGTAAGTAGTGATAAACACTATGAGAAAAAAATGATAGGGTTCCTGGGAGCCTATTTTATATGAGGTGGTCAGTAAAGGCAGTTCTGAGAAAGGGATACCTGAGCAGAAACCAGTGACCGGAGGAACAAATTTTGACAGGGATAATGGGTGCAAAGCCTTGAGAAGGCAAAGTGTTGGTTGATGTTCTATGATTAACTGTGATATAGGGGAAATAACCTAAAATGGATTTCCTTTCATTATCCCGTGCCAGCTTTAGAAAACCTGACTTCTAGGACAAACTCCTGCCAGCTAGCTCCATGACAACCTCTCCTTGATGGCACTACTTCCCAGTTACGCAGGAGGATTTGATGAGATGAACTTTAAGGTCCTTCCACTTCTAAGAATCTATGATTCCCAGCAATTATTCTTTGTTTTGGTCCCTCCTTGAAACCATTGAGAAAAGCCTTGCACTTTCATCCTTGTAAAGTTCAATAGTCTTAAAGGACAAATTTCCCATGGAACTTAATGCAAATTGCCCCTAACCTGTGATGTCTGACTTATAACATGGTAGGTGCTGACTAGAAGTGGGTGGAAGTAAGATGCTGGGATATTTCTGGCCTTACTTCTTGAGTGGAATGATGCATGAGGGTTGAAAAACCATTATCCTCCTCCATCTAGAGGTAGTTCTGATAATGGAATAAGGAGAGGAGGTTTTTATCACCTCCTCCTGAAAAGATCCCAACAATGTCATAGGACAAAGATGTCCCTAGATGCAGCTTCTGAACAGAATGTATGTGTCATGTATTTCTTGTTTTGGCCAAATTATTTATTCTCTTTTGAAAATATGATAACTTATTTTCTTACATATAATTTAACCTTTAAGATACGCCTATTTAAAAATAATCACAGGCCCCTTTGCTCAGCATCACATATGCTTTCTCTTTTGAGCAAAAGGAGAACCTGACTTAGTGTGTAAGATGGTTCCACATGTTTTCATGTCATTACCGTCCAGTCGGTTCTGGAGTCTTCTGTCAAGAAAGGCTCATGTCTGGCCTGGGGACACTGGTGAGGCACAACTGGGGCTTTAGTCCCGAGTCTCACATTTGCTGTAAGTTTTGGCAACACAATTTGCTTTCTGATTTTCTGACAAACTGGGAATACAGTATCTTCCCTATCCCCCGGAGGGGATGGCTGAGAGTGTCAAAGCAGCTGATTATAAAGTTCTCATAAAAGTACAAAGTGTCACACAAGCACAAGATAATACTCATAAGAGCAGCAAGCATGGAGAGCACTTTACAAATGCCTTCAATGGTGATGTTTGCTATACAGACAGCGTATTGACGTACAGTAATGTGTGCTGGCGGACACAGAAAAGGTTCCCTCCCCCATAACATATATTTTTAAAACTTGGGGAAAAAGAGAAATTCTAGGTACCAGATAAACAGAAAGACTCAAAATAGAGAAATAAGTGGGCACTAGACCTAGACACTGGTACTGGGGCTTGGGTTTTAACCCTCACATGGGGAAACAGACTTGGCCAACAGTCTGCATGACCTAGGCAGTCAGAATAGAGTTCCCTGCTAAAAACTTGCATCTGAAAAGGGGACAAGAAAACTCTACCCACTGGCCCAGGAAAGTTGCAAAGAAGCTTACCTTCTGTCCAGGACCATAAATGGAAGAAAAAGAAAAAGAAACAGACCTGTAATAAATTCATACTCCAAGGCTACACCAAAGTGGGTATGAAATCCACAGTTATGGTAACTGGGGGTTAATGATCCCAAGCTAAGTAGTTAACAGAAAATACAGGCCGGAACTTTTAAAAGCCCCATGTGAAAAAAAAATGAAGATGAACATACACACAAATTATAAATGGAACTAGGTAATAAACTACCATTGAGGAGAGTCTACAGATATAACATCTGAGGATAGTTTATGTTCCTGGGACCAGAGTTAATAGGATAATCTGGAAAAGTCTATAAATAAGAATGATTATTTAAGAATGATTAAAGAGTTGGAAGTATCAATAAAAATAAATAAATAAGAGAACAGGACAGAAAAATAGCTAAAAAGACTAAGCAAATTTAAAAAGAGCAAACAGAAGTTTGAGCAGTTAAATAGTCACTAAAATAATAGAGAAAGTGAACTGATAAAGAGTAGATTATATAAAGGGTTTAAGAAAGGCTTAACTGAAAGAGCTGAGCCCATTAAATACAACAACAAAGAGAGGTAGAAATGTAAAAGCTAAGAGACAAGAGAGTTGTGAAATTGAATCAATTACTCAATAGTTACTGATACAGATATTTTGAAAGAAAGTGAAAGATGCAACATGTAAAGAAATAACTGCTGAGAATTTTCCAGAATGAAGAAAAGACATGGTCCCCATATTGAAGAACCACAATGAGTTCAAAGCAGAATTAATTTTTAAAAACCCACCCTTTAATTCAGTAAACTTGCAGAACATCAAAGACACAGAGAAAAATGCAAAATCACCAAATAGAGTTACCTATAAAAACAGATATCGTAATTTGATCGACAACTTCTCATCATCAGTTAAGAAGACCAGAAGATATGAAAAAATATCTCCAAAGAAATGAAGAAAAGTAATTGTTAACCAAGATTTTATAATGAATGAGCTAATCTATCATTTCACAGAGTGGTCAAATAAGTCCTCTCAGACTAAGCAAGTTGACCACTCAGGCTTCCACTGAAGTTGCTGTTAGAGCAGAAGTTCTAGAACTTGGGTGAACTCCAAAATCCCTGGGAGGGTTTGTTAAAAGACAGATTGCTGGGCCCACTCCCAAAGTTTCTGGTTTCCAGTAGGTCTGGGATGGGGCCCCCCATCTGCATTTCTAACAAGTTTCTGGATGACACTGATCCGTAGACCACACTTTGAGAATTATGTCATAAGAACAAAACTTAATGTAGAAAAAAAGGAATGTAAAAATTAGTGGTGGGTGAAGAAATATGTTTACATCTAAGTAAAATTAAGTAAGCATTGACTATTTAAAAAAGTAAAGATAAAATACTAATGAGAATTTGGAAAGTTTAAAGACAAGGTAGTTGTTTTTTAAATCCTGGATTTTTAGAGGGAGTAAGGGAAGGAGGCAACGGGAGAGAGATGGAGAGGAAAAAAAAGAGAGAGGAGAGGGAGGGAGGGAGGAAAGGGACTGGAGAGGGAGAGGGAAGGAGGGATCTGGGGATCGAACTGCTAACTTTTGGTGTACGGGATGACATTCCAACCAACTAAGCCACCCAGCCAGGGCTAAACACAAGGTAGTTTTAAAACTCCACTGAACAATGAGAAACGGGAGTGGGAAGAATGGCACTAACGTTCCCTAAAGTCCTATATTGTCCAGGAGGAGAGTAGAGAGTGATTAATTTTGATATTAAGTGAATTACATCAGTTAAAAATTTTAATGTGAGCACGAAGAGAACTGAAATAGAAAATACAACTTCCAAGCAAGTATTAAAAAATGAAAGAAAACAAAGTGTACATTATCAATCTAATAAAAGGTAAGAAAAGAAAAAACATAGCAAGAGACAGAAAATTATGTCCTAGACAAATACTAACGGAGAGAAATGAATGTAATGGCTGACAAAGCCAGTCACAGTGGGAGTTTGACATGGCCATCTTGGTTAGATAAAACAGCCAGAAAAACAGTAGAAATCCAAATGGATAATTTGAACACCACAGGCTTGAATTAATGGTATACATATATAAAGAACTGGTCTATACCCAAGAAAGACAGAAAACAGTTCTTTTCAAACTCAAAAAAACATTTACCAAAAAATGGCCAAGCCTCCAATCAATATTCCATACTCAATATTCTCTGACCATATGTAATACAATTAGAAATCAATAAGAAACAGGCAAAAATTCTCCATAGTTTTAGAAACTAAAAAGCATATTTCAAATAACTTAAAAGCCAAGGAGAAAAATCTATGGAAATGACCAAATATTTGGAATTAAATGATGACAAAAGCCAAATGTCTATACTAAGTTGATAATTACCTAAATAAGCATACTCTTCTTATTCAAAGAAATAACACTAGTAATAATAAGAGTAAACTAACCTCTTTAAGGAAAACAAGGAAATAAGATCACTCTTAGGGGCAAATGCTAATTTCCAATAGTAACAAGACTATGTGCTTGAGTGAATGTAGATGATCAATAAACAATAAAAAAGATTTGAAAAAGACTGAGAAATATTATGTTAAAAGTCTTCTGATAATTGAAAACAGCTCTGTTTACTGACTTTACCTATTGCTCATGATGGAGAAGAGAAAATTCTATTCTAACAACTTAGTGTGATTACGAATAAATGGAAATGAAAGCCGTGGTAGAATGACAGGCATTTGGTAAGCTCCATGGAGGAAAAGTAATTGACTGCTTTAACCCAGGCATTACTGGGCACGTTGTAAACTGTAGAAAGCAGCAGAGTAAATCGAATGAATAGATCCAACAGGTAATTAAAAGATGGTGGGGATCAAGTGCACTTGCATTCTAATATCATTTAAGTTTTCAAATGGACTTACCTTTATAATAAAAAAAAAATTGAATTGAATCAGATCAAAGCCATGACATTAGTATTTTAAAAATACCCATTGGCCTCTTAGCTCAGTGCTCAAAATATAATAAATGTAACTTCCTCCCGTTTTTAAAAGAACCCACATTTTCCATCTTCTGTGATTCCAGCATCTTTCCTGAAATTCCAAATCATCTCCTTGCACTCTGATAACCACGGACACGAGGTGCTAGTACATTCCCCGCTGATAAGATGAGCGTGGCCCCACTCTACAAACTCCACCCAGGAGCTGGATACCAAGTGTCCATTCTGCCGAGTGACCAGGGGTTCTCACTCTTCCTTACAAACAGTGTGGGGCAGTGTTTCAAGGGGCAGCACCATACCTAAGGCAGAACTGGTTCTTTTCCCACCTGGTACACACGAAGGGACTATGAGAAAGTTAGTGGGTCAGCGGAGATAAAGATTCTTATCTTATCTGCCAGCTCCAGAGGTTAGCGACAACCTCCCCCAAACCTTTACAGAGTTTCAGCGCTGGAAGAGATTCAGAATACAGCTTAGATTTTGTTAGCATGCATGAACTTCCCTTGGCCTAGAGAAATGACAAAACTCTGCAAATATAGGACTGGCTTTGCCTCATACAGAAAGGAAGAGAGGACAATTTGATTGTTTCACTTATATTTTATTATTATTTTAAAAATACTTATTATTGTTTGTGATCCTCATCTGAGGATATGTTTTACTGATTTTCAGAGGGAGAAAAAGGGAGAGAGAGAAATAGAAACAGAGAGACACACAGAGACATGGATGTATGAGAGAAACAGCGAGTAGTTGTTTCCCGGTACATGCCCCCACTGGAAATCGAACCCCCAACCTTTCAGTGTACAGGACGACGCTCCAACCAACTGAGCCACACCGGCCAGGGTTGATTGTTACACTTATAATCCATCCGTTTATAATGGAGAAAAGAAAATGTTTAGTTTAGCTACCATGATCACATCATTTCCTTTTCCTTTATAATAAAAGCCACATGAAAAGGCAAATGTAGTTGCACCTCACCAAGAAATTCCCATAAGGAGGAGATGGGAGTAATGTTACATTACTCAATTACACCAAGGTGAGCAGTAATATACAAGAAATGTGTGTTTTGATACAAGCAAAATATTACACTGAAGATTCAGAACTTCAGAATACTGACCGGGCCAGTAATAGCTGGATTCTGCAGTCTTGGGTCTTCCCACTGAGTTATTTTGCTATCTGCAAATTAATATTAAAAAAAATCAGCATATTAGTTGAAATATATTCTATGTCAAAAATGTTTTAGAATAATTATTTCTGGTTTTCCAAAAGCTGTCTAGTCCCCCAACAGGGCCCCCAAAGATAATATCTTAGTATTTCAGGGTTAGAAGAGAATGATACTTTGTATGGCAAACCTATATAATGTTTAGTTAAAAACACTCAATCAAAACGCACAACTAAAGTAAAACCATCTATTTACACTGTTTTTTGGCAAGCAATCTGCTGAAAGTTCAATTATAAACCCCTGTTCTTTCAAGGATTTATAACTTGATCTTGATATTCGTTTAATTGAAAAAAGGCACAAAAAGTCTCAGTCCGCCAAAAGTTAACACACACACACACACACACATTACTTTTTCTCATTTCAAATACTTTTGCCTGTGCTTATGGTCTTGAAAAACTGCTTTCAATTAAGAATCCTCCAGTGAACAAATGAATAATCCATTTCATGTGCCACTCATATGCACACAACAATGGAAGCAGCCAATAAGTAAGGCAGTCCAAAAAAGGAGAATTACATACTGCAGAGGAAGATTCTAGAGGAAGGCTTCCCTTTTGGCCATGGTGAGAAGTGGCTTTCTTCCAAAAAAGTCAATGTTAACAAAATTGTTCAAAGCCATCTACACCACTACTCCAACGGTGCAGGTGATAATGAACAAGAGCTCCCCGGCATCACTTGGGATTTGTGACTGTGCATAATTAAAAAGACTTTATGGATTACTCTGTGTGTGTGTGTGTGTGTGTGTGGTGGGTACAGAGATGAATTCACATAAAAGATAATGTGGAGGATAGACTAGGGGAGAATGAGTTCTTTCTGGAGTTTTAGAAAATTTAAGTTGATTTTTTTTTAAATGGGAAATTATTTGAGAAAAATACTGATTCTAATTATTTCCTGTCAACTCAAGAATAAGTAATATCAGGGATTTTTCAGAGTCTGGGGTTATAATTATTTTAATAGAAGCACAGTAAAGTCTTCAAATAAAGTTATCAAAGCACATGATGATTCTAGATTTGTGCATGCTGGAAGACAATTTACGTGAAATGCTTCAACTGTTTTAGAGAACCTTGATGGGTTCCTTACCTTGAAAATGGAAGATTTTGGAAAGTAAAAGTTGCTACTGTGATGGAGAACAATAGAAAAGAAAACCAAATAATGGGAACATAATAGAACTGAGTAATAACTGCGTTGGACTATCATTGTAAGGACTGGGTATTGTCATCACAGCAAAAAATAAATCAATAACTACCTGTTCATGACAACTCCCAAATCTTCAGTCCAAACCTCAACTTCAAGCACCACCCTTGACATCTGCACCTGGATTCCCCATAGGTACCTTCAACTCAACTCTATAAAAATTGAACCCATAATCTTCCAAGACCAAAACTGTTTATGGAATCCTGTATTCTCGATGAACAATATCACAATCCACTCACTGTTCAAATCTGGAATCTTGACACACACCTTTTTCTTACCTCACCATTTACCTCTGGGGTGACCAAACTGGGTGCTCATCTTTTCCCTGGACCATTCTCTAGGTTTCCCTGGTCTCAGTCTTATCCCTGTTCAAAACCTCTATATAGCTCTGTCAAAAGGATCTTTCCAAAGAACAAGCCTGACCACTGTCACCTCCTCTGGAAAAATCCCTCAGGAGCTCCCTCTTGCCTGCAGAAGGGACCGAGTCCCCACACCTGGCAGACCGCCTTTAACTTGATGGGTGTGCCACCCCTGGCTTCTCTGTACACTGGCCACGGGCAACCCTGCCGCACTTCTCTACATAGCTTCATACACCTGCACACCTTCTCCATGCTGGAATCACTGTACACTGGGTGTGGGGATATGTCTGAAGAGTGATCCATTTCATAAGGCCTTCCTGCAGACTCCCCATCCCTTGTGGTGCACCCTGTGCCACTTGGCAAGCAGGTGCACTCTTTGCCTTTTCTGCTTCCACATTAACTAGGGGTTCTTCCCTCTAACACAGCACTTAAAATACTCCCTGGTACTCCTGCTAGAATCTAAGTCCCTCAAAGACAGGGGCTGTATTTTATTCCTCTCTGCAGCCTCCTCACCACCACTTAACACATTTCCTAGCCTAATATGTAACATAATAATGTGTTATTATTTTTAATGACCAAATGAAGCTTATGGTGATAACAAAGTTCCTTTATGGTTGGCTAAGCTCTCAGATACATACTAGTTTCTGTGTGGCTACTATAAAGGTCAATTTTGCAGCTAAGTATTGTAAATTTTTATATGTATGGTGGCCATTTATCCAATTTTCCCCTAGAATTTTAAAATCTAAACTTGCTTTGTCTTCAAGATAGTTTTTCAAATAAAGGGACAAGAATGAAGTAGAAGAATGAGAAACTCAGTCAATTTAGGTACTATTTACTGGTTTGGTAAAGGCTATGGGCAGAATAGACTCAAATAGGATTTTACAGCATTGCTAGAATTTAATTTTCTCCTCTAGCTTTGTATATAAGATATCTGTGACCAATTCGTCAGCTGCTGGGCATATCTGGTCTTTAAGAAGAGTCACACAATTCCTAAGAGAGGCAGAGATTCAGTTCAAGATCTTCTCTTAACCTTTTGCACCAGGCTCGAGACATAGAAGCCATTCAATAAATGTCAACCAAATAAATCAAGGCGTCTAAAGAGAAGATTAATACTGAACATTATCTCTTTCTAGATTAAATCTTTAAGGTTGAAATTATAAATCTTAAAAATGTCTAATGTCTCAAGAATTTATGAAGCAGAAAATAAATGGCATAATTATTTAAAAAGAGAAGGGCATTGCTGTCCCTGTCATTCAGAGTTTCAGTGATGCTGGCAGACAGGGTGACAGTAACTCCCAAGGTGGTCACTTTCACAGTAAATGGCACATATAAGGATGACCTGGTTTCTATCCCAAGACACCAAAGTGAGATGCTGACTTTGGCAGAAATCAGATGTGGGAAAACTATTTAGAAAAAGGTTCATTTGGAAGGTAAGGAAATTTTTCAATGACACCACCAGGTAACTAGACCCATTTTGGAGTGTACCTATTAGGCTGATAAAGTCTTCAGCATTTTTTGGTAAGCTGGATTTTTGGGAAAAGGCAGATGAATTGAACTCTGTTTCACTGCTATGAACCCCTTTATCACTTTTCATTGAGTAAACAATGACAGAGGAGGAGAAATGGCAAGAATGTTATATTAACAGCTAATGAGATTCTCATACACAGATCTTTTTCTTACCTTGTTTCTGATCTAACTAATCAGGTTAAGAGAACCTTTCAGTATGGTTAAGCAAAGGCAAACTGTAATCTCTGGAAAGAGGAGACTCCCACAAACTGTTCTGGCAAGAGAAACGAGGGATGCTGTGCTTGGAGGGACTGATTAAGGAACTGCTCAGTCAGTTACCAAGTAACTATCCTCTCAGCCTCCTAGTACACAGGATAGAATACAGCTGAGGCTACCAGTGCTGCTGTTTCTCAAAGCAAATTCTTTCCGTTTTCTGACCATCACCACTGACTTCCCAGAAACCAACTTCAAGTCACTGTTTCCCAAAGCATCAACTGTATACTAGTTCTATGCACGCCACTAGAAAAATTGTCTATGACTTTCATTACTTCTAATGTATACTAGTATGGTTGTTTGCAATAGTGTTACTCTTGTTTTTGGGTCCTCGCAGTACATTAAGAACATTTATAGCTGAGACCGGTTTGGCTCAGTGGATAGAGCGTCAGCCTGCGGACTGAAAGGTCCCAAGTTCGATTCCAGTCAAGGGCATGTACTTTGGTTGCGGGCACATCCCCCAGTAGGAGTGTGCAGGAGGCAGCTGATCAATGATTCTCTCATCGATGTTTCTAACTCTCTGTCCCTCTCCCTTCCTCTCTGTTAAAAATCAATAAAATATATATTAAAAAAAGAGAGAGAGAACATTTATAAAGTTTTCTCCAGATTGACCTGAAGATCACTAGCCAGGACACAGCCACAGTCTTGTGTGAAATATTCTGTATGCAGCAGACCAAGGTTGCATTCCTGGATAAGACCTTGTTTTAATAAAATCATATTTTGTACCTATCTTTGAAACTAAAATTGTAAGGTATAAAAAAACCAGGGAAAAAATTTTGGTTTGTTTTTAATGGTAAAGGGATATGATCCCACTACTTTTTAGCAAAGTAGGCTAAGAAAATAAAGTATATTAAGAAAACACCCATATTTTAAAGCATTTATGGAAGCAATTTTATGCTCACTGTAAATTTCTGGAAAGTATGTAAACAGTACTTTACTGGTTAAAGACAAAACTAGGCCTCCGGTCTGTGGCATTTCTAATTTAAACCAAAGGGTAGCCCATACCTCTAAATATATTGAGGACTTCTGCTTTTGGTTTAATTCTGAATTGTTGGGCTTCTGAACACTTAATTAATAAGCCCTCAACCCCGTGCCAGAAAGCGAAGGCTCGTCTATGATGCACTCCTTTGCCTGGTAACACCTGGAAGAGGCACTAAAGCTTAAACCGTGGTCGGCATACTGTAGCTCAAGAGCCACATGTGGCTCTTTGGTCCCTTGAGTGTGGCTCTTTCACAAAATACCATGGCCTGGGTGAGTCTATTTTGAAGAAGTGGCATTAGAAGAAGTTTAAGTTTAAAATACTTGGCTCTCAAAAGAAATTTCAATCGTTGTACTGTTGATATTTGGCTCTGTTGACTAATGGAGTTTGCCAACCACTGGCGTAAGAGATGGTGATAAGCCCCACTCTCATAGCTAGATTCCCCAGCAATTGGCTCATCAATGTGCTTATCTAATCAATGTGATGAGTTAAGACAATGTGAGGCTGGGGAAACCTGGTTCAGACTTACTTTTTATGAATCAAATGACAAGAAGAAGCAAAATACTACCAAACTGCATGTTTGATTAGAATTTCAAATCTATTTAAAGACTTCTTTTTCATACACATTTTCAGAAGTTGTAAGGGATATACAGTACAAATATGGAGAATGTGTCACTTCAAGAAAGGGAAGAAAAAAAAACTGGCTAAAAGCAAACCTTTATTAGTTTTAGTTGAAATGAGAAATCACACATTTTTCATAGGTGCTGGAGCAAATGTCTACAGCAAATATATCACAATTTCAAGAAAAGAACTGCATATATATTAGTGTGTTGGGTGCAAGGAAACATGCTATGAATAGAAAATAAGTCAGAATGGGCACCTCGCCCTGAGACCGTGAAGGCAGTGTTTAAAACACGTGTGTGTTGCATCAAGCACCACACACACAGATTTTGGACTCAGTCATCACTTCTAATCTTATTTTCTATTACCAGAGTGTATTTATTAAAAGCGCAAAAGTCAAAGGGTCATCAACCAAAAAATAGTTCTTAAATAAAATAAAGTTAATAGGTCACAAGATCAAATTGGGTGAAAGCTTGCTGGGCTACTTTACAGCAAACGTGGGGGGAATGCACAGTACCGTACGAGGGCACTGATTCTCTGGTACCATTCTCTCCACATAACACCTGGCTGCCTAGACAAAGAGTAAAATGACAAAGCTTTCACTCTAATATTTGAAATTCCCTTCCCCTCCCTTTACCTGCAATCCCTGTGTCCATAACAGTGCCTACTTACTATGATCAATATAAAATGTCCGGCCATCCAGGTGGATCCTTTCTTCCCACCCGGGCTAGTATCAGGAGAGAGAGAGAGAGAGAGAGAGAGAGAGAGAGAGAGAGAGAGAGAGAGAGAGAGAGAGAGAGAGAGAGAGAGAGAGAGAATATGTAAAAATGAGTTAGCTGTACCAAAATCAAAGGCAAAATTATGACACCTTACTCTTCCCTCCTAGGGTATAGTTTTACATTAAGAATAAACCACAAACATTTCAAGTTAACCCTCAACAACATCTAGGAACACACTTGGAGCACATATCCACAGTCTTGGGTCATTCATCACTTGAGCAGGAAACAGGGATTGCTATTTCATATGAGCTTCAGCATCCCATGGAACAGTGGTCGGCAAACCGTGGCTCGCGAGCCACATGTGGCTCTTTATTCCCTTGAGTGTGGCTCTTACACGAAATACAGTGTGCGGGCACGCACGGACAGTGTGATTGAAACTTCGTAGCCCATGCGCAGAAGTTGATTTTCGGTCTGGGTGAGTCTATTTTGAAGTGGCGTTAGAACACTGAAGGGGCCAAAGAGCCACATGTGGCTCGAGAGCCGCAGTTTGCTGACCACTGCCATGAACACTTGAGTTTGGGGATGAACAGCTCAATTAATTAAACAAATATTTACTAAATACTAAAAGGAGAAGGAGGAGAAGGGATAATATAAAAATGTTGGAGACAGATGCTTTACTCATGTCATCGCTGGTTGAAGAATCGAATACTTGCACTTCTCTGTTGTGAATTCTCACTGTTCAAATGTGGGAACCAAAAAGGCTTGGATCATCTTTCCATAGGAGGACTGGTACACTTATTGCCTAAACTGCACCTATTTGCTATTTGAAACTAGGAACCTAACAGGTCCAGACCACACACAATCGTTTCCTTTTGAAACTCACTCTCTAGACACATTCTGGGCTCTCTCATCTAAACCCAGAACCAGGCAGATTTGCAAAGGGTGGTATATTTGTACAACCTAATGAATAAAGATGAAATCATAACCTCCCTAGCTTCAAATTTTGCCAAAATATACCACACACCAGGCAACAGAAAAAACAAATAAAAAAATTCCCAGTGCCCTTCATCTAAAAATAGTATTAGAATCTCTCCTCCCCTTCCTGCCCCTGTAAGGTTATTTATTTTTAATTGGGGGTGGGTCAAGGAGGGGACGAATGGTAAAATTTTCATTCAAAAATCCAGTTTTGTAGTAAATAGCTCAACCCCATTCAGGTTCCCAAAAAGAACAAACTGATATATAAATTAGCTTTACAAACAGCCACCAACCAGGGAGGTAAGTTTAAAATATCTGCAGATTAAATGACTTACTAAACTTTCTGTGATTACCTATGCCTTTTTCTCCCACCATTTTTAATATTTTGGTTTCTATCATGGGTAGAACTTATGGTTGCTATGTTACAAAACAAACGTGTGCTGTTTACAGTAAATTGCCATCTATAAAAAATGCCTCCTGCATCCTAGTTGCAAGGTCTACCTTCCACAGACAGGTACCAATTCAGAAACCTCCTTCATATGTACTAGCTGGTTGTATGTACGATTAGAATTCAGCCATACACCTGATTCTATTAAGAAATTATAGACCAATGGGCCAAAAGTATGGAGAAAGAAGTCACAGGGCCTCTCCATCAACACTGGGCAGATAAATGAATAAACATATTCAGACTTGTCCATGTGTCTCCAGTATACTTACAGGCAGAGGGCCAAGGTCATTGGGGTTTAAAGGTGCCTTTGACCGCAAATGTACTGGGAATTTCAGACGTGGATCTTCCTGCAAGAAAAATGTAAAAGGCAGAATGTGTTAAGAGTGACATCTGTGTGCTATTACTGGCTCCTCCCCTTCTGGAGCTGCATGTTCCAAGGAAAGCAGGAGGCATGTGAATGAGCCACACTCCTGCCTGCATGACGGAGGGAGAGTCCCATCTTTGAACAGGAAGCCTGGCTGACCACCTCTCAAAAGAGACTCCATTCTTCCTCCTTGTCCTTGGTGAAAGAAGGAGAGTAAGAACATTTAAATAAAAGGTTAACATTTTCCCAAGATCTTGAGCAGGTGAAGAGGAAGAAGGACCTAGCAGTGATGTTACTATGGAAACCAGAATAAAGGGTGCCAGCGAAGAGGAGGCTCTACACCGCAGAAGAGGGAGTGAAAGCCTGGTTTGTAAATCTCCCTATGGATCCAGAGCTGCAAGTGAGGGTGGCTAGCCTAACACACTGTAACAGCCTCTCTGTAAGCACTGCACTTCCCTGCTTCCCCTCCCACCCCTTCCTGAACTAGAGCAGAGAATCTGAATCTGGCCTGCCTGGCAGGTCAGGAGCTATCCCAGAGAGCGCTGGCTGGCTTCGTCATAAAAATCACATCCCTATTAGACAAATGGACTGAGATTCTCCAGTTCTACAGATTAGATTTTCGTGTATGTCTTAATATTTACAAGTTTGCAAAATATCTTTCTTAAGGAATGTGCTTCTTAAGATACCACAGAAAGTCAACAAAAGAGAAATATATAGTCAGCCATCTTGGTTCATGACTTATAATTGACAAAGTAATCAGACACATAATCTTGCAACCACGCTCGTAGGAGGGTTACATGATCTCTCTTTCCTTAGATGGGGAAACTGAATTTTAGAAAGAATGAGACTTTGCCCAGAGGTTCTGACCCTGAGTCTGGGAGCTGTCTCTTATATAGGCTCTGTGAAAATGCAAGGCATTTTCATATTTTAAACTCAAAGGGTTAGAAAACGATAAAATTCAGGTCAATAAAATATAAATAAAATAAGCCTAAGGTTTTTAAAAATCCTGTAATAAAACTTATTTTGTGACTATTAGTGGGTATGGGGTTTCCTTTGGGGATGAAAAATGTTCTAAAATTGACTATGGTGATAGCTCTACATCTTTGTCCAATGTTTGTCCAAAACCCATTCAATTGTATATTTTAAATGAGTGAATTGCTTGGTATGTGAATCATATCTCAATAAAGCTGTTTTATCCCCAGTCAACAGTTTTAAAGCACTAGAATTACTGGATTATAACAAAGTGACAGAATTTTGGAATTGGCAAGAATAAAAAAAAAAATCACAAAATATAAAATCAAGCTTTGCTTTCTGTTAGCTATAGCAAACTTTTAATTGAAAAAAATTAATGTTAGTGGTTTATGATGGATGTTGACCCTGAACCTCACTAGTATGCTTTTAAAAAGGATGAGTAAAAACATAAAATAGGCCGATATTCTGTAGATGATTGGAACACATATAGTGTGTAGATTTAGGATTTAGAAAGTCTGAGCAGCTGGTATTCTGGGAAACATTTGTGATAGGCTCATTGTGACCAAGGAGAAACTTACAGAGCACAGAACACCACAAAAGCTACCCACTCAGGGCTAACTGTGAGCTGGCCCAGCTAATGTCACAACCATGGGGACCCTGAGGAACACACCTCTGACCACACATGTTTAGAGAGAGCCCGAGGCCGCTATGATATGAAAGAGGACAAGGCTTCTGATGCTACATGCCAAGCTAGCCACACCTTCAAATCCCACACACAAGCTACTGAAAAGACAACCTGGTAAAAAGGTGGTAATTTAAACGGGAGGGAAAAAGAAGCTGAAATTAAAGTGCCAGTGGGGCTGGGGACAGGGGAGTACTTACTTATCTATCTAATAAAAGAGTAACATGCTAATTGACCATTCCTTCATGATGCCCACCAGGCAATCAGAAGCGAGTATGCAAATTAACCCAACAAATATGGTGGGTTAATTTGCATATGCAGGTACTGAGCGGCTGGGCGTTCTCCACCACCCTAGCTGCTCCAGGCCTCTGGACAGCATGGGAAGGTGGAAAGGTGGCTCTGTGCCTGTAGCAAGAGGAAGAAAGGCCCATTTTTCCATGAATCTTCATGCACCGGGCCTCTAGTCTATATTATAAAAACTCAGTGGCCCTAATGCCGTATTGACCAAATGACCAGTCACCAGGAGGCATGGAGGGGTCATGGGTCCTGCACCAGTGCACGGGGTGGTGTGTGTGGCGAGGCATTTAGGAGGGTCGGGATTACATAAACCAAGGGAATACTCCTGGTTCAAAAAAAAAGACAGCTTTTTTCCTCATTCTGGAAGAGATCAACAACCAGGCCTCAGCTACAATGAGTTTTCTTAGGTTTGGACCCAGTAGAAAACAAACCTGAAACTTCATAAGGCATACTCTGTCTTGCTACAAAAACATGGTGTAATCCCCACCCTCCTGCGTGCCTCACCGCACATACCACTCCGCACACCGCCACCCCTCCACGCCTCCTGGTGACTGGTCGTTTGGTCATTACGGCATTAGGGCCACTGGGTTTTTACATGCTTTGAGCTGCTTCCTTTAACAGAAGGAAGGAATGGACATATCAAAGGCTTCTTGTAACCTTTCCTCTGTCACTTGGTAGCCCCCGCAGGCATCCATGGTCCACCCCAGGTAGGGACAAGTGAACCAATGGCTGGAAGTCTGGCCACAAGGAATCCTCACATGGCCAGGGCTTAGTGCCTCTTCTAGGTGTTACTAAGGAATGAGAGCATGGTGGACAGACCTGCGCTTACAGGCTGGGGCCTCAGACGCTATTCCAGATGGACAGCAGGCACACTGCTTTAATATGAGATCATGCTTTGTAAACAGACTTCAACAGGAACTTTCCTCCATGCGTGTACACAGGGGAAATGTTGGCCTGATCTTTTCATGCTCTGGTTTAGTGCAAGAGTCAAGAACACGAAGGCTGAGGGGGGCAGGGTCTTGTTTTCATTATTCTCCACCTGTTCTACCAGCATTTCACCCTTTTTCACCATAGGGCTCAAATCTAAGAAAAGCTATGCTGACCTCTCATTTGTTCTCTCTTTTAAAAAATGAAGCAAGCCCAGCCTCTGAGGCTCATTGGTTGAACATCAATCCATGAATCAGAAGATCACGGTTTGATTCCCAGTCAAGGCACATGCCAGGTTGTGGGCTTGACATCCAGTAGGGGGTGTGTAGAAGGTAACCAATAGATGAGTCTTATCGATGTTTCTAACTCTCTCTCCCTCTGCCTTCCTATCTCTGAAATCAATAAAAACAATTTTAAGAACAATAAAAAAACACGAAGCAAATCCCAAACCAACTCAAAACAAATTTTAAGCTGAAAATGATCTTTACAGTTCCCACTATCCCTCCATTTTTTGTCCAAATCAACAGGAAATTTAGAGCAATCCTTCGAAAGTGAGCATTCTGTAGAGGCCTTTGTTTAGAAGGAGAGATAGCAGCTGGGCCAGCCTGTCTGAGTTTAGAGAAGAAGGGGAGTAACCGGGGGAATGTCCAGTTGTTACTTTAAGGATTTTCAACAATGGCAGCAGCAACAAAATGTTGTTTTAACAAATTAAATTTTTAAACCAGTAAATCAGTCAATAACAAGCATGTGGGTAGAAAGGGACAACTGGAAATTCAAACTGGATTTCATTCAGCAACGATGCAGGCAGTAAACAAAGCCGGGGCTGTTTAAAATCAAACCTGCCCAGCTGCAATTACTCTGCAGTTGTGGAGTGAAAGGCTGTGAGAAGGTTAGGGGATTTGATTACTAAGCTAGTTCAGATTACTAAAACCATAGCTTATGTTGGCTGGCCACCGTGGCTCCATACACTAATCCATCTCCTTTTATACTATTTACCCCCTATTTCGGGAATGCCCATTCCTGGCTGAGGATTTGTAGAATCGCATACTCTTAGTGGGGCAGCCACAGGTTCTATGTCAACGAGGGGGGGAAAAAAAGACTTAAAAAACAAATCTCCATAGTTGGTTTTCCCCAAAGCTACCTATCTCTTACTCTTGTCTTGGCCACAAACCTGTAATATGATATGAGACTCAAAGGTGAGTCAAACAAAGCTACATGTTATTATATGCCTTCGAGGTAGTTATGAGTTTAATGAATGTCACCAAGATCTAAATGATAAATTCCTCTGGCAGGCTAATTCCTTTACTTTAAAATAGGAAGAACTTTTAGAGTTTTTCTCACTAAGGGGTGCTTGCAAGTGTGTGGTAACATTTTTGGTCATCACTGTGGTGGGGAAGGGAAAGAAATGGTGGTTATTCAGTGACAGGAACCAAGGATATTAAGCATTCTGCAATAAAAGGCACAGTCACAGTCCTGCTCCAAATACCTAGAATGTCCTCATAGAGATATGCTTACTACCATCCATCTGTAGGACGAGAGAGAGAGAGAGAGAGAGAGAGAGAGAGAGAGAGAGAGAGAGAGAGAGAGATATCTATGCCCTCTTGTCCAATTTCAAGGGACTGATTTAACATTAGCCCATGGGCAAAGTATAAATGACAGTCTGGGACATTTTGGTTCAGTCCCCTTCATTAACACAATACTGCTGTTCTAACAATGGACCCACTCGTGTCTTTACTAAAAATGGGGATTTAAAGCATGTGTTCACCTCTGATCTGAGACCAGAGAGCTAGGGCCATTGGCAATCAATCCCCAAACTCAGCCAGCTTTCCGGTCACATCAATTCTAAGCAAGCAGCACAGACGCCAGGAAGACTGAGTCAAACTCTGAACCCAGGCCATCAGTTGGGGACATAAGGACAGGAAGGAAAACAAACCTGAAGCTTCGGGAACAGTCAGAAACAAGAGAACCAATTTAAATTCAGTCATAGGTCTACAGGTTGTTAGTAGAAAAATGCCCCTGACTCTTTAAAACACAATGAGCTACATTAATGAATTCCACCACTGATTCAGCTAAAACCTGAACAGAGGAGTATAAAGATATGCACAATCACTTTTAATTAATCTCATGTTGTACAAATTCATACAACACACAGATTCTTTCTCAGGACCCACTCCTGAGTTAAATTTGACAAAATGTTCACAACAAAGAGCTATCAAATTTACAACCAAAATCCTCAGTACATCTCCTACCCCACAATTAAAGGTGTGAAATGCAGCACAGAAGCATAAAACACTAAAGTAAAATACTGAGGTGGATGGTACAAACGAAAAGAACAAATCAAACAAAGATGGGTGATGTTAATAAAAATGCAAAGAAACTGACAAAGAAAAATTATTTTCAAAAAGATCAGAATTCCTATTATACCATCTTGAGAGGTGAAGCAGGAGCATCAACATCCTAGCAATAAGGAGCACTGCTTTTCCCCCAAATACAGTCAATTGTCAAAACTACAGCTGTCCAGGAATGTTCTGGAGAAAAGGCATCCAACCTGGCAGCTGGCCCTGACCCCGCACCCATCCATCACCCCTCCCATCAGTCCCTGTGTGCAAGATATTGAAGCAGGCTGAGAAGACCCTCTGGGGACAAGCTTCGGTGTCAATGAAATTTCTCTACAAGAATCATGAGTACGGAGTGAGGAGATGAGAGAATGAATGTCAGACCTCACGATGAAACGGAGCCAAATAAAAACAGCGACCTTACCCACGTTGTAGTCTTTGTGTTATGGTCAATGAAGAAGGGCCGGCCGTTTGGCGCGATCCTCATTTCCCAGCCGGGTGGCAGGAAGCTCTGTGTGCCTTTGTGTTGTGGTTTGGGGGAGTTGTAAGGTGATGGCTGTGGGGACTGTGGATTGGAAAGGGTATCTTTCACAGCCCGACGTATGGGTGAATCCTTGGCACCCTAAGGAATAATAATGAGCATTAGAACTCTTACAGGTGCTAGTCCAGATGTGTCAAAATGTACTTGGGTATCACGAATGTTCCATTTGGAAAGGGACAAGAGGAAGCGCCTAAGAAACTTGTTTCTGTCATTTGTTTACTTTTAAATCAATCAAACTTTAAAGTTTTTCTACTGATTAAACATAGAACATTAATTACTTAAAATCACCATCCTTTGATAGCTATTGGATATATGCGAAAAATAGTATACTCTACTGAGAATTATGGATGAGGACTTTACAGAGGATGGAGAAAGACGTGACCCCGCTCTTAATGAGCTCACAGTCTGATGAAGAATGGATGGGCAATTTGCAGAGCACAAGAAGAAACCACCTGGACTTGTACGGTTACCATGACATTTATATCACAGTTAGGAAGAGAGCTATCATTCATTCCCAATCATCAGCATTTAAGCCCAGGGCACAGAGAATACCACAGCTACCTCTAAGACATCGTCAAGTTTAGAACTTGAACATTTGTGCTCTGGCTTCTCCAACTCTGATGCAGTGATGTTAAGATATGGTATTAAGACCACACAAACAGGAGAGCAATGCAGATGCACAGCAATGACTTAGGGGTGCAGATATGCATCAGAAACATGTATGCCCCATACAATGACAGACCCTACAGTCCAAAGGCAAAAAATGGTCAAAGCCACAGCTATCGTTTAAAACTTAATATAAGCACAGCTATCTGAAAGAGTTATTATGCATGTCTAATGAGGTAATAGGCAAGAAGAGGCGAAACAACAAGAATGGAGAAAGTTCTGAAGAGAGGGGCCCACATGTACAGCACAAGTCACTATGGCCTCAGCCCCATGAGAATGAGAATCAGGTGAGAGCCCAAGGATGTGAGCTGGGCGCAACAGAGAAGCAGGTAATGAGGCTGCACAAGAACACCCTTCACCAAGAACACAATGATCAGACAGGAAGGTGGCTGCGAAACTGAAGTCCAAGCTAAGAGAAAAGAAAGAATGAGAAGTCACAGGGTAGACGTGACCCCAAGTACACTGAATAGCCTTCTCACCTCCAGTGGGGCAGATAAAGTTACTGTTGGCGAGCTGAGGCTACGAGGCCGGCGGATCTGAGGCTCGATTAGATGGTTGCTACTGTTTGTGGCAGATCCAGGTGCACCATCTTCTGCAAGCTACATTGGAGCAAAAACAAGTTAGCTTCATGTGAGGATCTCCCTTTGTGCGGTTGGGAGTGTGGCCCCAAACAACAACACAGCCAGCAGTAATGAGAGGTCTGGCCTATTTAAAGCATGGAGGAAATGATTAACCATAATAATGGGGGGAGGGAAGGTTGGAGAAACACATTCAAGAGAAATAAAAATGAATCACTAACCTGGCATGAAAACGAGCCTCAGGAAAAAATGGGAGAGGGGTTGGGAGAGACCCTACACACTGCTATAAGCTCTTACTTTGAAAATATCTTTCACATGACATTTAAAATATATATCTAAGAGACAGAGTGATTTGGGGACCAAATTCTTCCATAGGCATATATATTTAAAATAATACATTTTCTTTGTGGAAAAAAAAAAAAACATTTCTAAAACATGGGTTCTCAGGACAATACATAAACAATAGCAGTGTGGAGGTCACGTACATTTCAGCTTCAACTGCCTGCAATTTTCAGTTGTGTGGCGATCTGCATACCTGCATGATAGGCCGAGTCCAAGTGGTGGTTCGATTGTTATGATTGACATAGTATGTGCGTCCCTTAGCATCCTTCCTTTCTTCCCAGCCTGAAGGTAGGCCCGGCGTGGTGTGCACGTAGGCCACTGATGGCTGTTTGTGTAAGAAACCGTCATTATTTAGTGCAGTTGTTTTCTGATCACTTTAACAAAGTAATGTACACATTATTTTTTTTCTAGACAAAGCAAGTTAACTCTATTTGTATCCAAAACACTAGTGTCTTGAAAACAGAAGTAGATTTCCAGTAGCTTCAAATCTAGTGTGAAATGAACCTCTCTAGAGTCCAAAATCTTACAGAATGCATTCTTAATGTCCTAAGCCTTAAATGCAATGGTAGCTGCTAACGTGCTAAGAGAAAAAACCATCTGTTTCAGATACTAAATTTTACTGCCAAATTATGTAGAGCTTAAAGGTATTTCAAATTATCAAATGTCATTGTCTATGAGAGAAATGTCTTGATATAGCTGCCACAGGGATACTCTCCTAGCTTATTCCTAAATTCTTCATCAGCTTATGGCCCTTATATTGTATCTTCCATGGGGAAAAGTACACAGAGGGCCTTCTCCAGGAGTTCTCATACACACCAGTGGCATATAACCAAGAGGACCAACTAGGACACTCCAACTGCCCCAGCTTAGAAGGCTCCTGGCGAGCGGAGGCTGTATTATCCTGTCTGTCCATGCGGAGCTTGTCTCTAAAGGGTGAAGGAAGCGCAGGCAGTTTCCGGGTTTAGAAACATGTCCAGTACAGAGTGACTATATTTAGATATTCCAAATTAGATCGAAAAGGATTCCTGAGACACTTCTGCTGGTAAGCAGCAGCCTGAGAAATGCAGTTGGGTGGAGAACTCTGGAATAACAAGGATGTTTCAGTGACTCAAGGAGGCACCGAGATGGACATCTGAGGTCAATGCTGTCTCAGGAGGAAGTCCTGGATGTATGGTTGCTGTATATCAGATCTGTCACTGGGGAAGGGGTGCTACTCTAAGGCTGGGGGGGGTGGGGTGGTGCGCGCTCAGATACAAGAAGCCAACCATAGCTATGCAGGCTCCAAGGAGAACACAAAAGAAGCAAGAGGCTAAACATTATTTGAGATACAAAAGGAAGCCATGTCTTTCTGGGTACCATTTCCCCTAATTAGGATTTTCTCACCCTCCAGATGTTTTACCAGCTATCATTTTCTTGATATAAGGCTGAAAATGTAAATCTCTTGGCCCCGCTTCTCCTGTGCTCATCCCATCTTTCGTGTTTCCTACCAACAATGTGCTGTGGCAGAGAGGGTCACATCAGAGGATCCCCCAGTCCACTGCATGACCCTGGGGTAGCATAATTAAGGATGCTACCACATCATTGGGGATGTTAGTTAATGAAGCTCCATATTCTACTGCCTGAGCTCAACTGCACATTCCAGAGAAAAACTAACTGAGGGCTTGGAGTAGCTGCCTCAGTGGTTATTTCTAAAACATGTTGAACAGGGAAGGCAACAAAACTTTCTTCTAAAACTATAGCAACTACTTCCTTGACATTTTCCCAGATAAAATCTGAAATATCATGGTTAATTCCAAGACTGATCATAGAGCATCCTGGACCTACATGTGGGGATTCCACAAGAGTGGGAAGAAACATCAGCAGACAGACTTGATCCTTCCATGGGTACTGAAGTCAGATGAATTTATCTACAACCTGAAGCTCTTTCCTCCCTCCTCCTCTAGCTGTGGCTCCAGCAGAAAAGAGCCTACTTTTTATCTATAAAAGACCGACTCTGCCAAACCAAGTTAGAACCCAAATTGTATCCTAAGTTAGTGGTCAATTGGACTGTGTGGCAAAATAGGTGCTATCAACAAGCTTTGACCTACAATTGCTCACATGATGACCAAAAATGCTTTGGCTAAATGAAGTACTGAATGGAATTTGTTGCTTTTCTTGCTCCCTGTTATTTTTGGGGAGAGGCAATGAGATAGGCCCTGAGAAAACTCTGTACTGGAAACCTTTAGCTTTGCAGTTATAACATCCCTGGAAAGGTTATTTGTGAGGCGTCTGATAACTAGAATAGTTTGGCTATGTCCTAGATAATCTCAGAATTCCTACTAAGGCTGTATGACTTCCAGCACACTATTCCAGCACGTAGATCCACAGTGAATAGAACTAATCAGATTATGGGAAATTAGTAGTGTAGTAGAGAACACTGAATTTGATTAAAATGTTCATTGTACCTTCTACTGAGAACTGGTAACTCAATTTAGTACCACTAAATAGAGATGGTGCCATAAAAATGTTCTCCTTATAGATTTCTTGACCATGGAGAACAGTCTGTGATGGTGATTCCACTTGTGACTCAAAACCTCTCACTCAAAGCTAGGGACGGGCAGGACCCAGCTTCTATGACAGACCATGAAGGGGCTAGTCCTGAGCCAAAATCAACTTCCATTGCCGTGTGTGTGATTACACATATGCACTTCATTTCATTCTACCTTGAGAAATAGTTAATTAGTCAAGAGATATGTTAAAACGGATAGTAAGCTTCATTTAACATTTCATAGCTTTTCATCTGAATATATTACTGTGTTTCATAACGCCAAACAGCTGTTGTGCTACAGCTGCATATTGGCTCCAATTATTTCATTAAAAGGGAGAATCAATTATGTTTAAACTATCAAAGTTCAAACAGGCTTTTCCAGATGACAAATGTTTGGCACTATCACCAGTGCCCCAAGATTCCCTCAAACCCTGCCATTCCCGTCACCTGTTTATTTTAGGGTCTATACAGCAAAGAGCAAAATGACTGTGCAGTCCCTCTTGTTCCATCTCAGAGAGGGCTCCTGCTTAGCTCCCTGGAAAGTGTACTTTTTTGTGATAAATGAAAGGATTGTGGTTCTGCAGGTGAGAATCGGGATCTGTAGAAATAAAAGCACTACCAAGGAAAGACAGGTGGACAAGGATAGTTTATGCAACATGGTGCAGGACCAAAACGGGTGGGGCAAGGGGCTGAATGCTCACCAAGGTGGGGAGATTATATAAACTGGTGCATTTGCATGACTGAAAATTATGTAATCATTAACAGGCTCCAGAGAGATAATGGTAAGTGAAAAATATCAAGTTGCTAAGTGAAATGTACATGAGATCCCTTTTGTGTGTGTGTGTGTGTGTGTGTGTGTGTGTGTGTGTGTGAATGAGTGAGAGAGAGAGCGCGAGCGAGTGCGAGCGCGAGCAGAGCACAGTTCCAATGTAAGCATGTACACTTCTGTGTGGGGCTGACAGGGAGAGGGTTGGGAGAGGGTGTAAGAGGGAATGAAACACGCTAGGAGATGGAACTGGAAAAGAGAAAGTAAAGGGCATTGGTGACAAGGGAAATGATGGAAAAGAAACAAATGTGATACTGTCAAACCTACTGAAACTTCGAATGTGGCCATAAAATTAGTTGGCTTATTTCAACCAAAAGATGACCAGGTACACAGAAAGCATGAGAGTAGGTAAAACATTTAGGAACTACTCCTATGGCCCAATTCTTCAAAATCAAAATCAAAATAAACTTTTGTGTTTTTTATTCATTGGTGGGGGAAGGGAGAGTACTGGCAAGAAGAGGGCTATGGTAATGGCCACAGGATTCGCACTGACATGGAGCCCAGTGCTCTCACAACCAGTCTATCCCACCATTTAATATAACAGTGCCACACACTCCAATATTAACAACAGCTGCCAAGACCAATAAAATGCAAACATGGATGGAAGAGGATACTCAGCACTAAATTCTACTAAAATTATTTCATGAAATGATCTCATCCACCTTGCAGCTCTACTGCCACAGAAATTTCCAGTGCACAGTAAGCAATGTGCCACTTCATTTGAAGGTTCATACCTTCTACTGGAAGCTGAGCTGGCCTACCCAACACATGACTTTCACAATTACTGCGGCTCAATACCTTAAATGAGGCTGATTTTTTTGCTGACTGCAAATTTGACTTTCCTGTGTACAATGCTGAGCATTACATTATAACAATGTAACTAAATTGTTCACTAAAAATCATCAACATTCTTTAGAAAATCTGCAATTGTATATGTATTTAAAGGTGTTCTCAAGTAATAAGCAATTATAACAAACATAACAAAGGTGAAACAATAAGGAAAATTCTTTAAATAGCCATAGCAGCTCTAAGCATAAACTATAAGCTAGCCTGTCTTCAGGGATCAAATAAAAAACAGACAATTAAAGTACATAGTCAAATCTATTATTTTAAATAACGAATAATAACAATAACAGATACTTGGCTTAGAGAAACACCATTATTTCTAAACCTTTCAAACTTATTAAATGTACTTCCTCCCCTCCCATCCTCCAAGTAGTACATAAACATCTGTTCATTCCTGTGAGGAGAGTCACTGGTTCAAGCTCATGATACAGAAAATCTAACTCAGTGTTCAACACACAGGAGATAGCTACCGTGCCCAACTGAACATCCACTTGTGCAACTGCATTCAGTTCCTGTGGCTCTCCTGATTCTCTTCCAACCAATTTCATTTACCCAACCATTCCAATAAACAGCAAAAGTTTACTGGAAGTGCAAACACTAACGGCAATATGTATAATTGATTTCAGAGAGGAAGGGAGAGGGAGAGATAGAAACATCAATGATGGGAGAGGGGCCAAAAATATATTCTTAATGGTCAAATTAAATGCAATTAAAGCTTGACAGTCTTCCTGATAAAACTATATGAGACTAGCCTGACTGATGTGGATCAGTGGTTTGAGTATTGACCCATGAACTAGGACACATGTGTCAAACACAAGGCCCGAGGGCCAAATCCGTCCCGCCAGGCCTTGCAATGTGGCCCGCACCGTGCTGTCATCACTGCACTCCGCTGCGTTTCCATCACAATGACAGTTTATGACTGTTCAGTAAACCATTCAGCCCGCGATTTAGGCTGGATTTTAGATTTTGGCCCTTTCTCTGATTGAGTTCGACACCCCTAAACTAGGAGGTCAGAGTCTGATTCCTGATCAGGACACTTGATCCCCATTAGGGGATGTGCAAGAGGCAGCCAATCAGTGATTCTCTTTCATTGTTGATGTTTCTCTCTCTCTCCCTCAACTTTCCTCTCTGAAATCAATAAAAATATATTTCAAAAAAAGAACCATGTGCATCTCTGCAGCACAAAAAGTTGATATTCCCCCCCCCACACACACACAAAAAAAGATGGAGCATATTCACCATTATTCAAAATATTAAGACCAACCCACAGTTTTGCTGTTAAAGTCTGATCAAGGGTATCATTACCGTTGGCTCCTCACCACCTGTGACAGTTGAAGAACGCGCTCTCCTAGTTGGGGCACTGGGCTGTTAAATGATAATTTACATCAGTGAAAGGCACTTAGGGAGACCACCCGTTGTTTACTGAATCAGGAATCACTGCTGTGGCAGCCAGTGAGGCAGGTGACATGAATCAGAATCCTTGAAACCCTTACTGTCCAAGTAAAGCTGAGCGATCACTGACAACCAGAGGAACAAGGACCCCGTCAACCTCCCATCCACAGAGCCTCAGGCTGCAGCCTCAATTTGGTCGAACAATGAATTGACAACCTCAATAACAATAATGAGATGTCTTTTTTGGAAAAGAAATTGAACACCACGATGGTTTTGCTCCCACTCTTAAATAATGAGCAGATTCTTAAATCAAAATTCAAGAGGCCACTGGTGATCAGTGAGTTTTCAGCTTTGGAGAGTATAAGGGAGGAGCTTGCAGGAGTAATCCGTTTCCAGGAAAATAGACTCTTTGGCAAATAAAATTAACATTGATTGTGAAAAGGAGAGGAAGTGCCATTAATTCATCAAGGAAGATCACTGAATCATTAGGCGGAGGATCCCACCAGCCCATTGCAGCTGATTGTTGTGGGGGAGTCCTGAACCGAAACCACCCCAGAAAGGACGCTCTAGTCAAGCTTCTTATCAACCAGCACGTTGAATACAAGGCACAAATGAGTCCCTATTGTGGCCACTCAGTTGACTAGTGAACTCATTCATTCATTTTGCAAACATAAAAGATAAAAGCTAGGCAAAAAAATCCTTCTGACTTGTGCAAAGGTGTACACAATAGGAAAGACACTGTGCTTTCAAAATCTGTAAGTGCACTGTCCCTCACCTCCCCCCCCGTCCCCCCCCGCCCTCCCAACACACAATAAAATATTAGTGCTAAAAACGATTGAGGATTCGGAGTCATAAAAAAGCTGGTGATGGTCAAACATCACACTGAACATGCTAAAATAAAAGCACATAGTTTTCCCCCCCCAAAAGAAGAAACAAAGTCACAACATGTTTCTTTTCTTTGACGTGTACACCAAACATCTCCCTAAGCAGTTCTGGTCTGCCTTCCAATTGGAATACTCATTTTCATTTATTTCCTATATTATTAAACATTGCCACGCTTCCATACTTGCTGCTAACTAGAGAAACTGTGGGAGAGTGGAAACAAGTTGTAGCTAATTCTTTAGCGAGCTGCCTTTAGGGAGAAGGCACAGGAGGCTGTGTGGGGTTAATTAGGCCATCAGTTGTGGAAAGCCTATCTCGCTCCCACCTGGAAGAGTTCTTCCTGTTTAGAAGTATTCAATATGTTCTTAAATACAATCACCAGAGCACAGTAGAAGGACTAAATTCAGTCTTTTAAAAAATTAGTTATTAATGTAAGCTTTTAGTTAAGTGAGCACATCAGAATTGGTATTCATTTGGGTGAAAAAACTAATCAATGGAGTTTTTACCATTTTAGAGACTTTGGTGGCTAACACAACTCTTTGTATTGGAAATTCACTCTCCTTGGGCAATCTGCTAGGAAATTTGAGCGTCTCCTTTATATTGTAAATGGATTTGCACAGGAAAAACTCTTCCTCGGTGCCCCAGTGATTTTTAAAAAAAGCTGAAAGAGCCAACTGAGGAAGGGAAATGCACGTAGGTTACCGGTGGTAGATGAGCCTGCTCTGCGACCGCATCGGTGACACTGCACGACCTCAGTCTTGAGGAGGGCTCCCTCTGCTGAAGGGGAGGAAAGGACACAGAGCATCAAGAAAACATTCTTAGAAAGAGTTTCATTGGCTCACAAAACATACTGCTTGGTTCTATTCACATCACTATGATAATAGAAGGCAATTAAATGAAACATCATCTTTTCAGGGTAATGAGAGTAGTCCTTTCAGCAGTCAAGTTATCTGCAGTTGTTTTCATTCTCAGTGATTTAAGCAGACAGGGGTTTTGATTAGTCCTTAGTTAGAAATAACAGCAAAAAATAAGGGAACAAGATCAAAGCATGAAAGGGAATTCAAAAGGTCACCATAACACTGTAGGGTTGCTTGAAAAATGGAAATTGAAAGCTGGAAGTCTTAGCATTTGTTTTGGGATGCATGCTATAGAAAGGAACACTGAGATATGATTATTAAACATTTATTGACTACTAGGGGCCCAGCGTACATGAAATTGTGCGCGGTTAGGGTCCCTAGGCCTACCCTGGCCTCCGTCGCTGGCCTCTGTCGCCCTGCCACGTTAAGTAAAGCTCCCCACCCCAGGATGCTCCAGGATGCTCACAGCCCCTTGATTGCTCGGGGAAACTCCCCCCACCCCATGACTGCTCTGTAAGGCTCCCCCACCCCACCCTGCATCTTGACTGCTCTGTGAAACTCCCCCCACCTCATGACTGCTCTGTGAGGCTCCCCGCCCCAGCCCCAACCCCCTCAACTGCTCCATGAAACTCCCCTGGCCCTGCGACTGCTCTGCTAAGCTCACTGCTGCTCTGCTAAGCAGCCCACTGCAGCTCAACAGCCTCTAGTCCCACCCGCCACTCCCCCCCCCCCCCCCCCATGGCGAGTGGCTCAGGGGCCAGAGGTGTTCCATGCATTTTATGGTGACTGTTTAGTCATGATGGCACTTGGATCTTTCTATATTAGGATTATTATCATTGACAAAGAACCAGTTGGATTCTATATCCAGGGAGACTCAAACATAATTTTGTGCTACTTCTGAAGGGTCAGCTATTTACAATGTTGGCTTCTCAATGGAGTTAAAGTCATACAGATAAGGAATGAGGAGAAATAGTAAGGCTAAGCTAGTAAATCAAATGTGTAATGTATAATGTCCTGTATATAATTGCTATATTTACTGCAATACTTCCTTTTATAGGTTTTAAATATATGGCTTCATTGCTTATATTGTTTCCATAGCAACAGTTTTACCAATTCAAATGTCCTATATATGAAAACTCTTTTTATCTCTGCCCCTTTAGTACTAAATTTTCATCTCAGTGCTATTTCTCTTTCTGAAAACCATTAACAGACTGAATATAAAACCACATTAAATAATCATTGCATCTCACAAAATTGGGCAATGTTTGTCTGTTAAAATAAAAACAACGTACTGAATAAGGAGCAATTTTGTATTTACTTGTTTTTACATATCATGCAATTCTACCCATTTACATTTTATATGATCGCAATAATGACTATTTTTTAAAGATACTATTATATTTTCAGTGATATCACTCCCATCTTTACTATAGAACATCTTTAAGTTCAATTTCTCAAGAAACTGAGACTGCATTTATTCTTAGATTCAAGCTCAAGCAGGAATTTTCTATGGGCTTTTTCTGCAGTTTTGTATTATCAAGCACAGAGTTCTTCATGGCTGCTGCAGCAGCTTCTCACCAAGGCTCAGCCCCATCTAAAAGCTTCTAGAAAGAGTGTCCTTAATTGTTGAGAACCCCAATTCAAATGCTACTACCCTGATGTCAGTGTTCCAAATCCACAACCCTTCTTTTTTTTGTTTTTTAAAATAAATCTTTATTATTCATATTATTACAAAAGTTCATTTTTCCCCCCTCCACCAGGTTCCCACCCCACTCTCTGCCCTTTCCCCACTTCCCATTGTCCTCATCCATAGGTGCACAGTTTATGTTCAGTCTCTTCCCGCACCCCCCACTCCTCTTTTCCTCAAGAATTGTCAGTCTACTCCCCTTTCGTACCTCTGATTCTATTATATTCACCAGTTAATATTGTTCATCAGGTTTTTTAATTCCCTTGGTTTTTAGATTCACTTGTTGATAGTTACATATTTGTTGTTCATAATTTTTATCTTTATTTTATTCCTCTTCCTAAAGAACCCCCTTCAGCAATTCATAAAATTCTGGTTTGGTGGTGATGAACTCCTTTAGCTTTTTTTAATTTATTTGTGAAGCTCTTTATCTGGCCTTCGATTCTGAGTGATAGCTTAGCTGGGTAGAGTATGTTTGGGTGTAGGTTCTTGCTATTCATCACCTTGAATATTTCTTGCCATTCCCGTCTGGCCTGCATGGTTTCTGTTGAGAAATCAGCTGACAATCATATGGGTGCTCCTTTATAGGTAACTACCTGCTTTTCTCTTGCTGCTTTTAATATTCTCTTTGTCTTTTGCTCTTGGAATTTTAATTATGATGTGTCTTGGTGTGGTCCTCTTTGGATTGCTTTTGTTTGGGGTTCTGTGTGCTTCCTGGACTTGTAAGTCTATTTCTTTCACCAGGTGGGGGAAGTTTTCTGTCACTATTTCTTTCAATATGTTTTCGGTATCTTGCTCTGTCTCATCTTCTGGGATGCCCATAATTCTGATGTTGGTTCGCTTGAAGTTGTCCCATAGGTTTCTTACACTATCTTCAACTTTCTGGATTCTCTAGTCTTCTTGCTTCTGTGGAGGAGTGTCCTCTGGCTCTTTGTGTTCCAAATCTTTGACTTTATTCTTGCAATCTTCCATTCTGTTCTTAGGACTCTGTATAATATTTATTTCAGAGAATGTATTCTTTATTTCTAGTTGATCCTTTATTATTTCTAGTTGATCCCTTTTAATATCTTCATAGGTCTTGTTTATTTTATCTGCCTTTTCTAGGAGATTCTTGAAAAACCTTATAAGTGTGGTTTTGAACTCTATATCCAGTCGCTTTTTGTCCTCTATTTCTTTCGTTTGTGATCTGTTTCCTTGTCTCGGCATTTTTGCTGCTTCCCTGAGTTGGTAGGGTAGGAGGATCAGCTGTATCTATGCCAGGAGACAGCCTTATTAGACTAGACTTGGAAAACTGCAAGAGCCTCTGTGCTCAGCTTGGATGGGGCGGAGTTTCAGGGTGGAGCCTACAGCCTTGGCACCCGGTTAGCCCCGCCCTATGAGGTTCCTGAGTCTCAGTGTTCCTCAGTGTCTTTTGGTACTCGATGCAAGCACCTCTGAGAGAAAGGTGCCACAGAGTTTCGCCAGCAACCAGACAGTCTAGTCTTTCCCCCAACGAGCCCGCAACTGGGGTTCAGTGCAGTTGGAATGGGGTTAAGAGCAGTCCCGAGCTTATGTCTCCTTCCACCTACGGCAATCCAGCGGCTCAATCAACAGTCTGTCCTCTGTGCGAAATGTGCTTGACTCTGGGGCTCTGCCTTTCGCCGCTCCCCTGAGCTTCTGCCTTACAGCCCAGATTCCCTCTGTATGTGTCTGGGTCCCCAGGGTCTTGCTCAGAACTGGGGTTCAGTGCTGTCGGAACTGGGGTTCAGCACAGTCCAGAGCTTTTATCTCCTTCCTGCTAGGGAATGCCAGCCAGGCACTCAGCCGCCACTCCTCTCCGGCTCCATCCTCTCCGCGCATGCAATGTGTCTCCGTACCTTAGGCTTTTACAGCTCCTCTGATTTTCCTTCTGGTTTTCTCTTTCCTTCTAGTTGTAGAATTTCCAGTCAGTCAACTTTCCTGTAGTTCTGGATAATGTCCACCTTATATTTTAGTTGTATTTTTTGAAATTGTTTTGTGAGGCTGCAGTTAGGCGATTACCTATGCTGCCATCTTGGTTTCTTAAGGACTGGTTTTCTGGGATGTAGATGTTTTCTAACTCCTATTAGAACTTTGTCTTGGATGGGTCCCTTAAAGACCATGCCTACATCTCTGAAATGAGTATGGTTTAAGAGGACTAATTGGGAGGCCCGATATCTCCATGTCCCCAATGCAAAAAGCCACCTTTTTGATGAGAGTACTATGTATGAGCCTTTGGCTGGGAGGAAAAATTCTATATGGTTAAAGCTGATAATTATGGAAGTCTTGAACTCTTATTTTCTTGCTTTCTTTTCAAATCAAGAAAGATTCTCACCTGCGTGGCCAGTTTTGGTATAGTCTTGCTTCTCCTAGGTTAGGAGAAACTTTAGAAAAATGTCTGAATTATCTGGGAGCTAGAAAACCCTTGGTCATTATTTGCATACAAGATTCTCTTAAAGCAACAAAAATATGATAAAATATTTGCTTAACTTCTCATTCAAACAGGACAATTACTCACAATTAAAGAACTAAACTGCTCCCCATTGGAGTCTGGAGTGATCTGAAGCCTTCTGCTCAGTTCTTCGGACAGCTCTTGAGGGCTGGTCCGAGAGGATGGGGAAGAGGGTGGTGGGGGCAGCGCCAGACTGAGGGAGGAGTCTCCAGCGATAGCCGCTTCTTCTGAAATGGTCTCCCAAGGCTACCAATGGATGAGATGAAGAGGTAAAGGCTAGGAAGGAGGAATCCTTTTTTCCCTCCCTAACTATAACCATTATCATAACTATAATTAACATTTACTGAGCACGTAGGCAGCAAACAATCTTCTCAAGAACCATGGGAAAGATATGACTACAACCTTAATTAACAGATGAGGAAACTGATCACAGAGGGGGACTTGTCCAAGGTAAGAGACCTACGAAGTGGCAGGACTAAGTCTTGAACCAACGAAGCCAGTTTTCACAGGCTGTGCTCTTAACCACTTTATAATACCACCTCTCTGGGCTGTGACCGACCTCTAGCTTTCGTTACTAAATGCATGGGTTAAAAAATAATCTCAGGAATTCATTGATAATTTCCATGGAGTTCCTTTCACTCTAACTGCTGAGGATTCACAATGAAAACAGCATAGATGCTATAATCTGTAATTAAACAACAGTGTAAAGTACATTTCAGTAAATTTTTTAGAGAATCAATTTGGCTTTTCAAATTTTGATCACTGGATCATTTTATAAATGATCTTCCTGATGTAATACCTTTAATGGATTTCTAGTAAGTAAACAGAGCTATTAAGGCAGCATAAAAATTATGATAATTGTTCATTTGTTCTTCAATTCATAACTCCCTCCATCCCAGTAATTTACCATAAATATTTCAGGATAAAGTATAAACAGTTCTATTCATCCAAATTAGTATTTTCTTGGTAATACATGTCTTTTGTGATGTCAAAAGTATTCAGTAATAGCTTGTACCCAAGCAAGTTACAGGGCTCATTCAATTGCAAATATGGAGTAAAAAAATCTTAAGATCCCCAAAATGTAATTCTTTTTTGTAATAATATAGATACATGCATGGCTTCATCAAACATGGCTTTTATGAGCACTTTCTAAATTAATATCTCTATGGTTGTCAATTAGACATGAGACCATTATAATAGATAGCTTTTATGAAGAAAGGAAATCACAGCATAGAATCAAGTTGGGGACACGGAGAGGAGGGGGTGTAGAATCTGGGGCAGCAGGGCGCAGCACCTCAGGGCCCTCTCCACCCTCGGAGGACTCAGGCTCCAGGTCCTCGCTGATGTGCCTGCGGGAGCGGAAGCGCCGGTGGGCAGCCTCCTGGTTGATCTGCCGGATGTTGCTCTCCGCCTCGGAGGATATATCCCTGAGGACAGGGGGGTGGAGAGAGAGGACCCAATATTAGTAAGTGGCCCCTCAACAAGAGTCCAACACTCACCAAAGGCTTGGCACCTACTAAAATGACAGTGCACTTATGTTCAACAAGCTGACAATGAGAATTCTTCTACATATTTTGGAGGCTTTTAGAGGACAAGTTTAAATGTCAAAATGTTTCTCAGAGAAAACTCACACAGACTCCTTTGATAAGACATCATATTCAGTTGGCAAAAATGATGCCACAAATTAATATTTCAAAATATTTGAGAACATTATTTTAGACTAATTGAAATATAGTATTAATCAGGGGTCCTTGTTACAGATGTTTCCTAAATCATAAGTTTTAAACATTCAAACAAATAAATACTGCATCCCAATAAAGAGCCTGTGGGGCTCCTGAACGGTAAAAAGTTTGCAACTAACAGTCTTGTATGCAAATAAATAGGTGACTCTTGAAATGGTTTATGTCCTTCCAATAGGCATCTCTACACAATTAATTTCACTGGTAAAGGAGGTAGGATGAAGGTTAGCTTTCATTTAATCCATATTAAAATGATAATTTATTATGAAATTCTGAATTAATGAAGCTTTATTGTATCTGCACATCCAATATACAAACTTTTGAACTCTAACAAAATATATCCTGCATATTTTATAGTAATACTTGAGGCTCAGTGCACGATATTTGTGCACAGTGGGGGTGGGATGGGAATGGGGGTGTTGGTGTTTCCCTCAGGACTGGACTGTCTGCGCCCCCTCACAGTCCAGTCCAGGACCCCTCGCTCCTTACAGTCTGCCTGCTCGCTGCTCCTTAGCACTGCCATGGAGGCAAGAGAGGCTCCTGCCACCACCTGCTGTGCTAACTGTGAGCACAGCTTCTGACTGAGCAGCACTATGGGAGTGCATTGAACACCAGGGGGCAGCTCCTGTGTTGAGTATCTGTCCCCTGGTGGTAAGTGTGCATCATAGTGACTGGTGGTTCCGCTGTAATGGTCGCTTAGGTTTTTATTATATACTTTATATATTATAAAGTATAACTAAACAAAAAACAGGACACTAAATGGAGATACCTTCAGAAAAAGACAATTATGGCCATAGAGAAAATAATTACAATCAAGGAACACCCAAGTATTCTAATAAAATTTCTGAAACCACCAAAACAGAATGATAAAAATGATACTATGGGATATATTAGGAAATGTAATATTGCTACTTGTGGTTTCATGTTGCTATAGTCATTTTTACAGGGCATTATTTTTTAAGCAAACAATGCTTATCAAAAGTAATTATAAGGTATTACAAAGCTCACAAAAAGTAGATCAGAATGATAAAAATACCTTAATAAAATGTGTAAAATACTTCAGTAGTGTCTAAGAAGGCAAAGGAAACTTTCACTTTTTATTGAGGATGAAAGCAATATCACTTTATAATGACTGGCTTTCCTTAAAAATATTTTGCAAATAAGAATTCCATTAAAATTTGAAATCTTCACTTGAAATATCAGTTATCACTTATTCAATCAACAGAGAGACTAATGTGTGCATGCTACACATGCCAGGCCCTAGCACATACTTGAATTGTTACAGGGACTTCTGAGAGGTTGAAAAAAATAAGTTTTTATTATTCTCTCTGTATTTTGTATCTTTCAGAAGTATACAAAAGTCCATTATTTTGGAAGAACTGGTGTGCTTTTTTTAAAAGGGCATTTAAAATCAATTATGCTAATCTTCCGTACCCAACATGCTCAAATAATTAGTAATCTGTGTGAACGAGAAGCAACTAAATAGCATAAAGAAACCAGATACCTCTGATTTTGAAATTCCAAACATGGCTTTTATGGTCTTTAGTGCTAACATGAAAATGTTCACACCATGGTATTTAATTAACTGAATGAGAGGGTTTGGAACAGAAGTTGTTGAAACTGACTGGAAATATAGTCAATAATGGCCAGATAAACATGTGAAATATTCCTAATCTGACAAACTAAAACAGAAAAATGGTTTTATCTTGGGCCAGAAAAAATCTAAAGAATGACAATTCCAATTTTTGTCAGTCATTAATTTCACATGTGTATTCTTCATTTAACTTTCATGGGAAATGTATAAATGAATAAAGACAAGAAAAACCAAATTTATCAAGTTCAGTGCCAATTAAGATCAGTGTGCCAGATCATTTACATTCACATACATTAGTGACTATTATATATGACTGTACTACTGCTAAGACAGGGAAAGATATACAAAGTAGTTTAGAGAGCTAAATTAAGTGCAAATTAAATGATTTTAAAAGTTCATCTTCATTTATCATCTTCATGTAATTCCCCACCTTTTAAAAAAAACTGTTGTTTTTATAGTAAAAAGCCTAGCATTTATGTTAAAATAGGAAAAGGATAAATTTAAAATGAGGGGTGTTTTAAAAGCCACCATCAAACTTGAGGGAGCTGGGGTGTCTTCTCTGGTCACCTTCTGTCCTAAAGTTTGCATCCAGACCTAAACCTGTCCTAGACAGTTCAGAAAACCATGTGCCTAGATCATTTTCAGAAGTGACTCATCTGTAGTCAGTCATTCAGTAGGCACCGGCTGAGCTCTGACCTTGTGCCAGGTGCAAAGGATAGATCTGCTCCAACAGGGAATTAGAATATTCTGTGCTCCGAGTCAGGACTGGGGAAGCCCAAGGTTTTTGCAGGGACACCTGCCTAAAGGGGTCTGGCTCCCCAGAGGAAGGTGCATTAGGCTGGTGATAGCTGAGGAAGGGCATGTTCTAGGTTTCCTCCCCTCTTTTTGGAGGGTTGGGGAGGGGAGTAGCACAGCCAAAGAGCCAAATAGAAGGGAAAGTAATGAAGCGGCTTGCATGACTGGGCCACTTGGGTGCACTACATATTTATGACTATGGTGGCGAGTCTGGAGGAGAGAGAGTGGAGACAGACCTTGTAAAAAGTCTGAGGGCACTGAGATTTTTTTCAGGGTGAACAATTTTTAGAGTGTTTGAAGTTTGGGGCACAAGGTAAGAAATGAGAATTACCAGGAGTGTCACAATTCTCGATTAGCACATGGTAATCGTTAATCATTAGGTGATATTCTCAGAGACAGCGATTAATACAGACTTCTCAATATCAATTTTCCTCCAACAAGTACTGGAGTATTCTGTGAAAACTGACTTCTGAAAACAATTTTTTTTCTGTATTAAAACAATCCCTTAATTCTGGAAGGCTTGAGGGCTTCAGGCCAAGCCAAATAAAGTTAAGGGGAAAGAACCCCGAGTTCTCAAACAGCACAGATGGGATCAAGAGGTCACTGTGGAAACCCACTCTACTTATCTCACTCTTCTTGGCTTTCTAGACATCACCTGTTGGAAAGGAGCCATTCCACGAGTTCCACCCAGAGTCCTGCTGTGTCCTTCCTGGCTCCACCTCTCCTTGGAGCTCAGCTGCCTCAGGGATGGGGATGATCACATCACTGACTTCTCCTAAACTTCCTGTGGACCTGTACTTGGATGAAGAACCAAATCTTCCCATGTTGCTTCTGGGCTCCTGCTTTGCCAGCATTACACAAGCTACATCTTCTGTTTTGGTTTAATTCTTTGGTACATGGCCACCCAAGATGGTATGTTTAGAAAACCACATAAAGTGTTTTTGCAGTGATTCCCTTATTAGTTTTACAACTCTGGGAGGTAGCTAAAGTTGTAATTATCACAATTTATCCCTCAAATATAGATTTCAATTAAAAAGTTATTATTAATGAAAGTGAAAAATTTGCTGAGACCGGTTTGGCTCAGTGGGTAGAGCATAGGCCTGCGGAGTGAAGGGTCCCTGGTTCGATTCCGGTCAAGGGCATGTACCTTGGTTGCAGGCACATCCCCAGTAGGGGATGTGCAAGAGGCAGCTGATCGATCATTCTCTCTCATCGATGTTTCTAACTCGCTATCCCTCTCTCTTCCTCTCTGTAAAAAATCAATAAAATATAAAAAAAGTGAAAAATTTCCATAGATATATTGGCCATAAGTATTTTTTCCTTTGTGAGTTGTAGTGGTCACTTTTCTACAGAGGTCACATGACATACTGGTCCCCGTAGAGTGCTATGTTTTAAGGTACTTTCTTACGATATTTAGCAAAGGTAGGTTATGGTGTTTTGCTTAGGGTTATCGCTACCAAGATTCTTCTGATCACTACATATTACCATATCCAAGGTAAGTTCGTTTTTTTGTTTTTTTTTAACTACAAATAGCTAGAGTAGTCAAATGACTTACAACAGTTTTAACAGCTATGGCCATTAACCAAAGGAAAATAGAAAAATATTTAATTTAATTTAATTTGAAAGATCACTGAATCATTTCCATGGGGAAAAAATTACAATAAAAAAGAGTTTAGCATCACCCCAATATCCTGATATTCGGTTGTCCTGGGGGCAGTGAGCTGGTGTCCATGCTGGGTAGTCCAAAGCTGACCAAGGACAGCTGATATTCATAAGAACCTATCTGGAGGCTTAGGAAGGACTGGCTGTTTGTTGAGGAAGATTCTGCAAGCTCTAGTTCTAAATCAACAAAACCCAGACCAAACTTCTTGGCTACTTTCCCTACTCAGAATATCTTCGAAGTTTATAAAGAGAAGAGTTATCAACACCACCATCAACCCATCACATTGCTAATACCACTTGTTTCAAAATATCATCAGCAAATTTCCTTCAGAGTCTGGGATAAGGAGACAATTATCTAACCTGATATACTTGGCCTTTAGTACCTGTTGCAAATTATATAACTCATTGATAATTACCTCCTTATCTTGGCTGCTAGGGAACTCATGATTGCTAGAATAATTTTTTCTTTTCCTTCTTTTAATACTTTGTTTTTACTTTTTATTGCATATTAACAGTTTTAGGTCTTGAGATATAGGTGATTTAAAAATAAGCTAAGTGAAATAAGCCAGTCAGAGAAATACAAGTATCACATGATCTCACTCATATGTGGAATTTAAAGAACAAAATAAACCCAGAGACACAGAAGCATGAAACAGACAGAAGGAAGGTGGGGGTGAGTGAGAAGAGATTAACCAAAGAACTTATATGCATAACCCATGGACACAGACAATAGTATGGTGAAGGTCTGGGTTTAAGGAGGAGGGAGGTGGGGTAGAAGGGGTCAATGCAGGAAATAAAAGGGACATCTGTAATACTTTCAACAATCAAGATAAATTAAAAATAAGTAAATAGAAACAAGTTACTTCAAATCCTTTTTTATAGTAGCTGAGGTTTAACTAGTGTTTATTTGTTATCATCAAATCAAAAATTGCCAAGTAAACAAAACAGTAATCAGTGTACTGCCTCCCTGAGGTTGGGGAGGGATCAGAATAAGCAGTAATTACTAATTCTGAGTTTGCAACCCTCCCATGTGTTCCTAATTATATCAAAGGAGTGATATAGAAATTTCCCAAAAAGGGAAAACAAAAAATTTTGAGGGTTTCTAAATCAAGTAATTAAAGGGAATAAAAATCCCAAATCTTAAGGGAAAGAGAACACTGCAAGGCCAATTTGCTTGTTGTTTTCCATTCTGGGTAAGTGACAAAAGGAAGCTGAAGAAGAGGGAAATGATATCACCAAAGAAAAGACTAATATAAGAAATGTAATCTCTGCTTTGTGTTTCATGAATCAGACAGACAAATCAATCCTATATAATAAAGGGCTAATATGCAAATTGACCAAATGGGGGAAAAACCACCAGTATAATGCGCACTGACCACCAGGGGGCAGACAGGGGAGCACCACTCAGCCAGAAGCCAGGCTCACAATTGGTAAGTGCAGTGGAGGTGGTGAGAGCCTCTCCTGCCTCCGTGGCAGTGCTAAGGATGACTGAGTGCAGCTTAGGCCCCTTAAGCCTGCTTCCCAAAGGGGAGCCACAGTCGAACATCCCTTGAGGGCTTCCAGACTTTGAGAGGGTGCAGGCCGGGCTGAGGGAGGCCCCCCCCCCCCAAGTACACGAATTTCATGCACTGGGCCTCTAGCTAGTTCATAAAATAGCAGAATGTGATCAAAAGCAAGGGCTTCCTCATCATAAGTGAATTCTGGCAGGCTGCCATGCTCTTGAACTCAATGAAGGGCAACCCTGAGGTACTACGTGCTTTTACAGACATGAGATATATTTCCCATGCCCGGCTCAAAGAGCTGCCACGGTTGGCCCTACCTGCAGATGGTGATGTGTGTTCCTAATCATCCTACAGTACTCACATCAGGGTCGGTCGGTGCCACTGAGTGGTCCGGTTGTTGTGGTTGACGTAGTAAGTCCGACCTAAATTGTCCACTTTCTCTTCCCAGCCAGGGGGCAGAGGAGGAGGAAGTTCCTCCTGATGCTGAGAAGCCGAGTCATTCGAGTCCACGACTTCCCACCCGTGCTGTAGAGTAAGATCACAGGGAAGGTCATGAGGCTGGGTCTTTGGGTGAGGAAGACACTCACAGTGCCCATGTCCTTTTTCTGCTGCTCTCTGGCTCCTGCAGTGGCTTCATGTGCCACATCTGAAGAAATTCCTCAAAAGGGACAAAAATAAAACAAAACAAAACAAAAAAAACACTCCAATTCTATGAGAGTATTAAAATATTTTGAGCAACTAATTGTGGCCATCTTGCCTTAAGATGATTGCACTAGAAGGAGCCATGAGAGTTGGTAATGTACTGTCTGCTGTGTTTTTAAGTCACTTTCTACTCCTTCCACATTGAATATTCATTATGTTAACCCAGAAGCCTCCAAGGCTATACAAAGCCAGGGCACTGACACGGGTCATGTTACAGCTGCCATCCTTTCAACACCTCCCGGAGGCAAAGGGGAGCTGGGAGATAAGCCGCACCGCGTGTGTTCTAACATGATTGCAGCACCAGTGACCAGGAGGGAGGCTGTCCCTGAAGGTTGGCTTTGGGGGGTGAAGCTCACATTCCCCATCCAGTACAATCCCGGGAGCCAGAGATGTCTGGATGCTGTGGCATTCTACTTACACCCCCTACTGACTGGGGCCACATAAACAGGCTCCATGGAATCAGCTCAATTTTTGCAACACATATTTTAGGCATTAAGTATTCCTTCCTAACATCCCTAGTAAAGTCACTGGAAAATGAAGTAATTCACAGGTTACTATGGTTGGAAGGTTAGAAGAGTGTAATTCCTTGGATTTGAGATAAGAATCTGTTGATGTGCTTGACATTCATGACTGTCTACCTCCCACTTCACTCCTCCTCACAGATGAAAGCTCACAGATGAAATACCGCCTGGAAATCTGACCTCTGGGTCCAAGGGAGGCTCAGTTGACTTGCCCTCATAAGTCACATATCACATATATGCAACAGCTGCAAACAGATGTGTAAAACAAGCCATAGAGAGGCCTTGTTTAGTGGACATTTTCAGGACAAGGGAAGACTCTAATAAAACAGCACTGCAGAAAGGATGTGCTGAGAAGGTACAATAAGACCCACGGATTAGATATGTGACTAGCAAGTTAAAAGGCAGCGAGGCCAGGAGGGAAAGAAAGAAAATTCCCCTGACAGCTCATTCCAAAATGGCATTCCTAGAGGAAAGCTTGCCTGATGCACGCTGTCACCTGTGGGCCAAACGCGTGAGAGACCTGGGCAAGTTTTTCTAAATCACTTGATCCGCTTTGAAGCAATTCCAATTGCTAAATGGAATTTACAAAGAGCTGAGAGTCCAAAGTAATAACAGAATTAAATATGTGAGGAGAATTCACATAGGGGTGGGTAATAAAATATGAGTTTAGCATTTTATAAAGAGAAATCTTTTCAATTATTACTGTTGTAATGTAAGATGAAAAGTTCATCTTTTTTACTAAAAACAAACACACTGGTAGATGATCAAAGACAGATTCACAGGCACTTTTAAGTTTTTTTTTTTCATATTTAAAAGCTATATAAACCTTATTTCCTTAAATAATAAAATCTTACGGTGAAATAGTCATATGATCTTAGGAAAGGAAGAGAGACCAAGGCCTCATGCTCTTACCTCCATATCTTCCCTCTGCTCACTGTTTTCTTCATCCTGGCCTCCGTTTTTTGGCATATAGGCCATTTTCAATCGCAAGAATCCCTTAACTCGAGATTTATGACTGTATGACAGAAGAACATTGGTTATAAAGGATATGGCTTGGTTATATCTTTCATATTTATGATGACTTTTGAAAAAGGTAAAACAGGAAAAGTTGCTAAATCTTCCTCAGAGAAAACCAATAGCCAAGACATAATGGACCCCTGCCTCCGAGGCCTCACCTTCTTGGTCTGAGGAGAAAGTCCTTAAACGTGTAGGGTCGCTCCATGGTTGGGTCTTCTGTCTGCAGGAAGAAAAAGTAAATTTTCAATACCCCTGAGATACTGTATTGTTAGGTACACCAGACTGGATTACAGAGAGTACATTTTCATTTTAGAATGTGGGAACAGCAAAGACAGAGTTGGTTCCTCAACCAGTTACTTGAACAATTACTTAACATTTTATAGGTCCCAGACTTTAGTCACTCAAGATCCACTAGATGTCACTATCAACATCCGTTTTTAGAAGCCAACCCGGCCTTAGACAAATGACAAAATGATAGTGGTCAATGCCAAGCATAATTCCTAACTGCAGGCTGGAGGCCTCAATCTCACACACTGGTTAATGCCAGAGAACCAGTGCTCATACAAGAAACCTAAAGATGGAGTTAACAGGAAAGTATGCAAGATCTAATCTGTGAAGGCAATGATTTTACTTTAACATTAAAGTATCATGCCATTAGCCTACACCAGTGGTCAGCAAACTGCAGCTCGCGAGCCACATGCAGCTCTTTGGCCCCTTGAGTGTGGCTCTTCCACAAAATACCATAGCCTGGGCGAGTCTATTTTGAAGAAATAGCGTTAGAAGAAGTTTAAAAAATTTGACTCTTAAAAGAAATTTCAATCGTTGTACTGTTGATATTTGGCTCTGTTGACTAATGAGTTTGCTGACCACTGGCCTAGACAAATGAAAGGTTATTTCCTCCACAGAGATTGTCCTAGGTGGCACTATCAATCTACCTTTTGCTGCTTACTTCATGAACCTAGGAATGCAATTGTAACATTTATCCATTTTTCGAAGAAATCAAAAGATTGTGCTTAATCAAAGCAAGCAGTAAATTAGAAACATAAATGTTACTATTTCATTAATAGTAAAATCTCAAAAACCTAGGCTATTTAATGAAACATAATTTAAAATATTTACTTCTCTAACAAAAGAGACCATAATATTTTCAATACCATGATTTAGTTTTGTATGAGAGGGGTGTGTGTATGCATTTATACTTGAAACAAGTGACCTGGTGCACAGATCTGTGCACATTGAAAGGAAATTAGAAGGTGGCTGGTGGAGCAGGTCTGGCAGGGCAGGACTGGGCAAGAGGGGTGGCACATACCCTAGAACCAACCTCCCACAGGTGCCTTCCCACCATGGCTCGAAGGGTGCACAGTGAGCCGGGTCCCTCTGGTAGGTGAGGTCCCTCAGCCTGGCCTGTGGGGATTAGGCCGAAACCAGCTCTCTGACATTCCCCAAGGGGTCCCGGAGTGCGAGAGGGCACTCTTGCAAAGTTGTTGTCGTACAGGGTGTGGAACTCAAACCCAAGTGTGCAAAGATTCAGAGCCAACAGTGCCCCAGCAACAACATAATCCACGGCCGAAGGTAGAATTGGATGGCCCCGAGAGGAATCAGGCTCCCTCCTCTCTGGTTTCAGGGTGCGTCACCCAAGAAATGCTGCTGCCAAGTCACTGTAGCTCAGCAGCCCCTGCGTTTAGCATCTGCCCCCGGTGGTCAGTGCGCATCATAGCTACCGGTCAGATGGACACTTAGCATATTAGCCATATATATATATATATATATATATATATATGATAAATAGATTATATATATATATATATATATATATATATATATATATATATATATATGATCTATTAGTCATTTCCTGCTTTAAATTGCCAATGGTTTCTTCCTTTGCTTATAATAAACTGAAAATTATTTCTATGCCTTCAAGGTCAAACAGGGTCTGGCTGGCAATTACCTATAACCTCACTGTGAACCATTTGACTTATCCTCTCTTGGCTGCTATTTCAATCACTCTGTGTTGCCCAAGAGCCAGAGGAAGGGCGGAACAATATGGAAAAGCAAAGCTGGAATACGAGGTGACCTACTGCTCACCAAGGTCTCAGGGTCTTGTCCCCACAGTCTGTCTATATCGTCTCAGTTATTTGTCAATAGATCTAAATGTTTTGCTGCTCATCTGAGCAGAGGGAAATGGTAGCCACACCACACATGCTAACTCCTATTTCTAAAGCTGAGTGACAAGTTCATTCAGAAGCAACAGCATCTTTTGTCTACGCTGACTGAGAAAGCCATATAGCAAATTCTGGGCACCATCAGCTTGTAGAGATGTAGGCCACATAAATAGCATGTGCAGTTCCAGATGAAGGGAACACATGTTTCATTAGATACAAAGGATGAATTTGAAAGCAAAAACACCTCAGTGACTAGGAGGGGTCTGACAGAGGAAGGGAGCTGTTTTAAATGAATTGACAAAGGAAGATGAATGGGCAGAAGAGCAAGAAGCAGGTGACACTGACTAGCATACTTGGAGATTCAGATACACTTGATTCTTTCTTATCACCATGAAAAGACCACTTTCTGGAGAAAAAAACAAAAACAAAAAACTAGGGCTCTTTACTTCAGCCTTCTCCACTGTGTTGAGGAAATGTTACTCTGAAAATATATACAGCTGCAAACAATGAGAAGTCACTGCTCACAAAAGGCAATAGTAACCATCCTCACCGGCAGATGATTAAGGGGCACGTCAACCTGTCCCAGGAAGTCGTCTCGTGTCTGTTGAGAAGAGAGCAGAGAGTTAATGTTCCCATCCATTTCAGAGTGTCAGCATTCTTAAACATTTATTTACAGACAGAGACAAAGGTTCAGGGCCTGACATTATGGTGTCATGGGGGTGGGTCAAGGCAGGTGGCCCAGATGAGGCACAGACAGCTGTCATCTGGGAGACAGGAGAGCCCCGGCCCCATACACCTGACCTGTAGATGCCCGAGACTTTATGGGATGTCCAGTACCCAAGTTCAGCAAACTGTGCTCTCAACCCAGTATCTTATTGGTGGACTGCCTTGCTTTCCTGCCTGGTATTGAGATATGGGACTTAAGATTACTAGGTTAAGTGCCTGAACTCAAATCAGCCTACCCAGATAGGAGCCTGGAATAGGACAGGTCTTCCTGGTCACCAGGCTCCCCACCAATGAAGTAGGTCTATTAATAGTGCCTATATTCTCTGGTTGCTGTGAGGACAAGGTGTGGTCTTGGCACAGGGCCTGCTTCGCTGTTGTGGTGCGACATGGCAGGTGCCTCTTCTGGTGTCTGAATAAAGCTGAGACATTTGATCAGTTTAGAATGGTGATAGGTCATCTATTGGACCTGAGGAGCATGATTGTCAAGAAAGTGTCACTCAGGTTGACCGAGACTTGGGGGTCACAGCTCGACCAATTTAAAGAGAAGACAGTAAAGACACGTTGGGAATATTTTAACAAATACAGGGTGTGGCAAAAGAAGGTTGATAGTTGTTCATCTGAAAAATTATAAAATAGCTTAATAAATAATGCAAGCATAAACTGTCTCACATACTTTAAGCCTACTTTTGCCCATCTGGAATTTATTAGTCAAGTGCTATAAACTAAACAGCTCCCTGAGAGCTGAGAGTCTAGGGCAAGAGTGCACAGCCTAGTTATTAATACATCGTATGCATTATTTATCATAAAAAATGGCCTCAAACTTTCAATCTAGTAAGTACACTGCCTCAGAATACAAGTTCATGGATTAGTTAATGGTTAAATTGTGGACTCATCATGCTTCTTCCCCTCTCCATCTACTACACAGCACAGATCTTTCTGACTTAAAATAGACTTAGATGAAAAACACTTGGAGAAATCCTCACAGGTGCCTCTTCAGGCTCTGGGATATACCTGGGAAGACATAACTCAGTACAGGGGTCATGACCTGGCCCATGGGATGTCTGACCAGTTGTTTGCACTATGTTCTGCTGTTAGAGGGCATGTGTCATAGCTGCTGCCCTGGCCCTAGGCACAAACCAGACACAAGGACTTCTATGACCCTCCTATAAAAACAGGCAGTAGCACTTACCACATTCAGAAATGCCTAAAACCTGGCAAGCCCAGTCCCACAGCCACCTTGAGGCCAGACCTCTCACTCTGAATCTGGGCTCTTATTACACTCTTTACTAGTCTGCCGTGGATTTTTATCATTTATGGAGACCACCTCTCAAATGTACTTGGATACGTCTCTTCTTGCACTTAAAAAGCAGCAGCAGGTAAATATAAATGAGAGTTAGTGACATGATTTTCTCTGGACTTAGGATTTCCTTTTAGGTAATTTTAAAAATGTAATTAACTAGAAAGCTATTTGTCTTCTCTAAACAATGCATGAATAATAATAGAAAATCAAAGTTACTGCTGGTTGGGTGTGCAGGAAGCATGAGATTAGCCCAATCTTGTGATGAGATTTTCATTTGTTTTCTTAGGTACATTTGCTACGGGTTGCCAATAAATGCTATATACCTTTTTAAAAAATATATATTTTTATTGATTTTAGAGAGGACGGAAAAGGGAGATTAAAAAAAAATCAATGATAAGAGAGAATCACTAATTACCTGACTCTCCTGCATGCCCCCTTCTGGGGATTGATCCTGCAACATGGGTATGTGCCCTAACGGGGAATCAAACCATGTCCTTCTGGTTCAAAGGTTGACGCTCAACCACTAAACCACAATGGCCGGCAATGCTGTAGATCTTAACAAAAGAAGCAGCCTGCAGAAGGCTCAAAAAATGAAGGAAGCTTCCTTTTTTGCTGTCCAAAGAGTTAAGGATCATTCCAGGCCCAATTTGGCTAGTTTACTTATAATTACAAAACTAGTGTAATTATCAGTTAACTCTGCAATAAAAAAATGAAAACAAGTAGTGTGTTGACTACCGACCATAAATTGCCGGTCTACCTAATTACTACTTGTCCCCTCTCCTCCTGCTACTGCTGTTGAAGCTGGGAAAGAAACACAGACGGATGCAACTGCCAAAAGGAGATTATCCCACTCAGAGCTTCGGTCATAACCTGATACCATTCAAAGCCATTCATCCATCGTTAACCTCAGTGCACTGCAACAAAAATCCACATAACAGCTGCACGCCCATGCTGTTTTTCTGGGGAGATGTTAAGAATTCTAAACTGATCAAAAGGCTCAGCTTTGTTCAAGCAACAGAAGAGGCACCTGCCATGTTGGGCCACAACAGCGAAGGAGCGTCTTACTGGGATGGTGGCTCTCCACAGTTTGCTGAGACTTGGGTGGGGAGTCCTGTGAAAATGCCATTTGCTATGTTATTGTTAACACCACCTCCGGTTTGGAATCTACTTCTTCCCTCCAATGAAACAGTTTTGCTGAATCCCCGAGGCCTGAGGCAAACCTCATGTGTACCTTAACGAGTCTTCCCATTGCATTGAAAAACAATTTATAAAACTGCCAAAGATGGAGCAATCTCAGGATTAAAGTACACACAAGGTCCACCTTATTTCTGGTGGACATCAAGGATGACTAAAATAAAAGAATTTTTCAAATAAAATAGGGTCAAGTCTGGAACAGCACATGTTCCAAAGGAATGGGCTTAAATAAGGGTTTTATCTGACAGTGGAACGTGCTGGTGAGACCTGCTTTCAAAACATCTCACTGTTGCCCAAACCGAAAAAATTGAAGGTAATGTAAACCACTTAGGTTAATGGCACTATACCAATTTTCAAACATGTCTTCAATACCGCAGGAGAGCTTAGTAGGGGTTCACAGGGCTGACTAGTGACTTTTTTGCGAGATGAGAAGTAGGCATTTCTCAAGGACACCTGGGTGTGACAGTAACAAGGTACAAACAGCGTGCCAGAAGGGGGGATCCCCACCTGCAGGCCCTGCAGAGACATTTGAGGCCATCACCATCTCCTCAGGTCATCATGCCACAGAATGATATCTTATACCCATATCATCAAAAACATGTTACAGCAATCAATTTTTAGTAATTTCCACTATAAAATTATTTTCATCAAGCTTCATGTTAACTACAAGTGATTACCAAACCCCAATTAGTTTAACTCATACAGTGAATACTGGCATTTATTGAACTTATTTTTAAGTGGAAAAAGCTATCAATTTCAACCTCAATTACCTGTCACACTATTCTAAAGGCTGAAAATGTATGGATTAGTACTAATTATAAATGTTCCCTTCTGACAAGCCATCAAATATTTTTCCAAAGTCATGATAACACAAACAGAGCCCCAGAAACCTGTTATAGAAGGTTAAAAAAAAAAAAAATCTGCCCTACAGGAAAAGTGAAATTAATATATCAAAACTTTCTTTTAGCACTTGCTCTCTAAATGATTATTAACTATATTCAGGACCACCCCTCCCTGCATTTATTTACTTATTTGTTTGTTTATTTATTTAGAAAAGCAAACAATAACTTATTGACTGTAGCAAAAACAGTGTAACAAGGAAGGCCATAGAAGAAGCAACAGGGAGCCTAGGCCGGGCTGCTTTGGCTCACTGGGAAGGCACAGAAAAGGGGCCTTGGAGACAGGTTCAGGGGTTAGCCTGGGACAAGCTGTTGCTGCCCATTGGTCCCCTGGATGGAAGACTCATGGGGTCCCTTAGAGGATACGGGTTGAGGTGTGAATAGGAGGGGGCAAGGGAATGGCACAGTTGTGTTCCCTGAAGAGAAAGTGTGCCCCTGCTTTTAAATAACTATTTCCTTTTAAATAAGAAGGGGTTCGGTGTCAACGCCACTGGAACCCAATGCTGGGACTATTCTGGCAGTGCCAGTGAACCCTTTTATGGCGCTGGGGCATTTCCTCAGGCTTCCTGCATGTACAATGGGCCAGAGCTGCCAGTACCGAGGGCACACCAGGCTCAGTTGTCTTCACAAACGAATGAGACTCAAACTCACAAAGAACACATTAAAAAAAACAGCAAAGTCTTTCTTTAGGTCAGAACTGCACTTGAAGGAGGTGATCTGAATCTCACTGCACACTAATGACGACAGAAGTCATGAGTAAATGAGGCGAGGGCCATGCAAGGAGGCCCAGAAAGAGAGCGCAGGACCACATGGGAAGAAAGGCACTGGAAGCGGAGAGGGTGCTCACAGGGCAAGCAGGGACCAGAAAGGCTCATTGGGAAGGTGCATCAGAGAGCTGGCACTTCTTGCAAGGTACAGTGATTACATGAAACAGTGGAGTTGTATATTAACATAGAGTTTCAACTGTGAGTAGTTCACAAGAAGTTTTTAAAAAAAAAATTAAAAATGGAAGAGAAAATATCAGTGTCTCACAGGAAATATTGAGCAAGTACTATTTTGAGAAATTTCAGTTTCATATAGGTATGCATGTGTGTGTGCTAAGTTCTGACCTAAAATTAATTTTTCTTTGTGTGACATCATCAAAAGTTTAAAAGCCACTCAACTTTCAACAGATGAAAACCAGCTAATATTACCAATGTCTGGGGTTTATCCTAGCAATCATTAAGTAGTGGCTTTTAAGAAAATTATATTGAGAATTTCTCAAGACAAATGGGATAGAAGTCTGGAGGAATTAGAACATAAGCTACAAAGAAGGAATTAAAGAGGAAAGCTATAGTATAGTATAGTATAGTATGATTTGATGTTTGGATCTTACATATTGAGGGAAATGACCACCATGAAATACATCTCCCTGTAAGCTGCTTCTTTCCAAGGTGGGTGCCCCTTCTCCCCTCTGAGGCATAAGGACCACCTAGAGGAGGC